GCTTGTGAATTTGCGAAGAGGGGAAATGTTCTTTTCACATCAAGTCTTGACGGGTCGATAAGAGCATGGGATCTGATAAGATATCGAAATTTCCGCACTTTCACAGCGCCCACTAGACTTTCATTCTCATCCTTAGCAGTCGATCCTAGTGGCGAAGTCGTTTGCGCAGGATCTTTAGATTCTTTTGATATCCATATTTGGTCTGTACAGACTGGCCAATTACTAGACCGATTATCAGGTCACGAAGGACCTGTATCATCACTGGCTTTTGCGCCAAATGGAGGTGTAGTAGTCAGTGGAAGTTGGGATCACACAGTTAGAATCTGGTCTATCTTTGACCGTACACAAACGAGCGAACCGCTGCAACTTCAAGCGGATGTATTGGACGTTGCATTCCGTCCTGATTCGTTACAGCTTGCTGTCTCAACCCTGGATGGACAGTTGACATTCTGGTCTGTTTCAGAAGCTGAACAACAATCGGGTGTTGATGGCCGAAGGGACGTTTCAGGTGGTCGAAAAATAACCGATCGAAGAACCGCCGCTAATGCTGCGGGTAACAAAAGTTTCGGCTCCCTTAGATATAGCGCAGATGGATCCTGTGTTCTTGCAGGGGGTAACAGCAAGTACATATGTTTGTATTCGGTAGACTCCCTTGTCTTATTAAAGCGATTCACCGTCAGCGTTAACCTATCCCTATCCGGAACGCAAGAATTCCTCAACAGCAAACTTTTGACCGAAGGTGGACCAGCCGGTCTTATCGATGAACAAGGCGAAGCCTCCGATCTCGAAGACCGCATCGATCGAACTCTCCCTGGATCAACCCGCGGGGGAGATCCTTCTGCCCGCAAAAGACTTCCCGAAGTCCGCGTTGCTGGCGTGGCTTTCTCTCCAACAGGAAGATCCTTCTGCGCAGCCTCAACAGAAGGTCTCCTCATCTACAGTCTCGACACCATGCCCCTCTTCGATCCCATCGATCTCGATCTCGCTGTCACCCCCTCCTCCACCCTCCACGTCCTCAACATCGAAAAAGACTACCTCAAAGCCCTCGTCATGGCATTCCGTCTCAATGAAGCTCCGCTCCTCCGTCAAGTCTTCGAAGGTATCCCGCACCCCAATATCGCGCTCGTGGTCGCTGAATTACCAGTTGTTTATATTCCTCGTCTGTTGCGTTTCGTAGCTATGCAAACGGAGGAATCCCCTCATCTGGAATTCTGTCTTCTCTGGGTCCAAGCAATACTCGTTTCGCATGGTCAATGGGTAGGCGACAACAGAATTCTAGTAGATTCAGAGCTGAGGATTGTGGGGAGAGCAGTAGGCAGAATTAGAGACGACTTAAGGAGGTTGGCGGATGAAAATGTCTATATGATTGATTATCTACTCAATCAACCGATCGAAAAGGGAATCGAGGGTGCAGATGCAGGAGAAAGGGATGTAGTGGTAAAAGATGTGGACATTAATGATGATGATGATGAGGCGGAATGGATTGGTCTAGATTAGGTTGTATCATATTATATGGAAGGAAAAGAAATTTAAGCTGGTTTTTGTACTCATTTATTGGAAGATTTGTTGTGTGTGTTATCGTTGTTGTTGTCGTTATTGCCTCCGGGGTTTGAATATTGTTGTGCATTCGTTCGTCAATTATCAAGATGCACACTCTGCGCTTTAACCTCAAGGTCTCATCAAAAGCTACGCTGCAAATAGAGTTACATCTCCATCAAAATATACACCCCCGTCCAATGCAAATTCTTCTCCGCCAGAAGAAATTGTCATCATCAAGAAATCATCAAATTGCTCTTTCTCTTCCCTCACGTTCCAATTGCACGGGAAGTTTCATATCATGTAAACTCATAGTTCATTGTATTTAATATTCCGTAAGCATTAATACGTATACGTATATGTATGTCTATCATAAAGTGTGGGTGGGTATCATCTAATGCGTATACCAAAAGTGATCTGCGAAGCAGATAGGGGTATCCAGAATGCGGGGTGTTGTATAGGTATTCAATGCATCCGTTATGCTATAATCAAAATGCCAGCCCGTCCATATCCAAAATAAAAATGCCTCATAGGCAAAGGCTCTCCATACTCATTGCGATTGTGTGATGCAGAAAGGCGGCCGATCCTAATTCGATAAACGAGAAATATGCTAATATCTGGTACGTCGGTAGACATTCGCATACAAACCGGCACACTAAACTGTACCCAAGCGATGATGTTTCCAAATATCAACCTCGACACTCTCGTTGCCTTTCTCTGAGCCAGCGATTTTCTCCAGTAAGCGCCAATCACATGTCTCTATCCAATCACGTTTACCATTTGATCTCGTAAGCTGAAGGGCGCCAATTTGCTTCATAAAAGCGATTGTTTGATCTATTCTGCCATGTTCAACGAGCGCAATCTTGCGGACTCTTTTTCCAGTTTTGGGACAGCGTTTTGGGAGGACTTTGCGGGTCAGAGGAAGTAAGGAGGTGATGTAGGTTGCGCCGTGGGATTGGAGGAGGTCGATTAGCCAGAGGTGGGAGGAGATGCAAGGGGAAAGTATGAATATTGCGTTATGGAAAGCACAGTTCGTTGTTTGTTTGCATTGGCCAGTGCCGGTAAAGATGGTTTTGGTAAGAGGATCAGGAGACTTTGATTTCTGTAGAGATCTTAATTGCTCTAGGGACAATCGACGGGATCTATGGGTGAGTCTAGTCGGTGTCTTTTGAGGGACGTCGATATTTTCCGAGCCTATTGGCGGGATTTGTTGTGGTAGTGACTGCTTAACATTTAGGGAAGACATAGCAGAATCAGACAAAACGAGAGGTCTTGGTTTTCTTGTTGGTGGAGGCGAAATCAGTTGTGTTGACTTGGTTGATCGCGCGACCGATGGAACTGGGATAGTCTGGGTGCCGTGATCTTTGGTAAAGGACCGTCTTGGTTGAATGACACTAGGCATAATAATTCCTGTTTCACCCCGCCTCCGAATAGGTACTAAATTCTTGACATCAAACTTAGCCTTTACCTCCAGATCCCGAGGGAAACTCGTGTGAACTGCTGTGACTAAAATATCAACTGGAATCTGGAACCCGAAGTCTTTATGGATGATGCGAGTAAGCCATTTCCCTTGAGAGCTCTGAAGTCTCGAGTATATCTGCCCAAGGCGGTCCCAGGTGTCTCTATCACTGGGATCTGCAAGAGATTTTATAGTAGCTGAGGACCCTTCGTTCTGAGCAGCAATGGTAATTAGGGTATCCTCGACCTCTTGCACAGTGACCTTCGTATGTCCAAAAACCGTCTCCTATGAAAGCATTTTAGTAAAGTTGCTATGTGAGTGTGTGCATCATATGAAGAAGCCCCTGATTATACTTTATTCAAGCGAAATGCGAGTGATTCATGGGTATCTTCAAGAGATTAGTTTCCCCCCTGAACTAATAAACTGACCTGATTCGTATCTCGTCCTATATGCTTCATGATACATTGTACACGATAGCCTATATCATTTCTAACTAAATCGTCGCGACCAGCCTTGGGATTCCACACAGGTATCAATGTCCCATCTCCCTCTTCGAGCTTTTTGAATGTGGCACGTTGTTCGACCGTCATATAAAAATACCTAGCAAGAAAGCGTTCGAAGGCTACTTTGTGGATATCGTAGTCTCGATCATCCAGAACCTCTGGTTTGAGAGTAAACAAAACCGAGGGGTCGTCTTTATGCATAGCATCCAAGGTATCGCGATGGAGTTTGAACCAACGAATCCAAGCATCACTCACCTTCTCCTTCAGAATGTTGGGAAGCAATGGGGGAAATCTGCAGATCAAGCCCTCGAGTTCGTCTAGAAGTTTACATACTTTGTAGAATGGTAAATTTTTCATTGTAAGAAAGTATGTTCAGCACAAGCAGGTGGGATAAGATGTGCTGTGATGATGAGTGAGGAGATGAATAAGATGAAGCACAGGATGGATACGTAAATCTGCTCATATTGTGTGAGAGAGTATGGTTGCAGATATAGAAAAATGGATGTGCAGTGATGTCTCTTTGTTATACACTAATTCAAGTCGCGTCGAAACTTTGCTGTAGCAGAAAGTACACTAGGAGACACGAAAACAGCTCGAGATCTCGTGACCTTGGTGCTTCCAGTCGGAGTTTATAACTTCCGACTTGATGATTTGAACTTTACTTGCTGCTTTGATCTCGAATTTCCCCTTTCTCTCGAAAAGGGCTAGACTGGCTGGACCTGTCTGAATTCAATTAAGAGTTCATCCCATTTGTTTGTTTCTTCATTCTTCATCCACTCTATCAATGCCATCTACACAAAACTTCAGGGTTGTTCCACACCCATCAATCCCCAGAATTTACGGGGATATTCGTCACTTCAATCCAGAATCATACATGATTCAAATGTCTTGTCTTGAGTCTTGACAACTAACTAATAAAGTACCTACCTAGGCAACCCAAGGATCAGCTAACATAATACCGTAATAATAAATAATAATAATAATAATAACAACAACAACAATCTCAACTCAAATAGACAAACCTAGAACAATTTCAACAAATACCTACTCGAGACTGGAGTAAGACAGAAGCGTCGAAGTCTTTCCTGTCCTTCCCTTCCCTTCTTCTTGGCTTGACTTCACTCACAACACAACTCATCTTTCTGTGTTCAAAAACAAGTTTCCTTCTTAGAATGATTGCGTATACTTCCATTTCTCTTGTATGCTGTTTATGATCATCGAGTTCATTTCTACTTGATCCAAAATCTAAAAATATCTACAATTCCATTTTATATCCCTTTATTCATCTCGTCTCTGCCCGTTCTCGTTCGCTTTCATACTCCTTTTTGGTTATTTGTTGACATATCGGCTCCCCTACTGACCAAATGCATAACGATTATTCGATTACGATAACACAAACATAAACACAAGAATTTCTTCAACATTGAATGCTTATATTCAAAATTACTTTTATTCCACTATTCTGTGATCATTATATATACTTATCCTCTCCAATATGCACAATGGATTCCTTCCACGATCGAACAACCTCAATTGATCGTGCTTCTGTTGAATCAATTCTAACAGGGGCCGATCAACCTACTGATGTACCAAGTCCCCATATTGGTACTTCGCCCAATAGAGTAAACTTCTCTACAAACCAACCACCTCGACCCATCGTACGGCCAGATCGTGCACTATCTTATACTTCAAGAAGACCAAATCGACTTTCGCTAACTTTCCCCGTTGCTCCAAGCAATGGCCTCGAATCAGTCAGAGCTACTCCAACTTCATCGAATGCTCCATCTATTCCCGGCACACCTGCAGATCCCAACGTTATCCTATCGCCAAATGATTCAAACGGTTTTCTAGTCGCCCTAGCTAGTCAGGAAAGGAGGGTTCTTGAACTTAAGGAGGAGCTCGAAAAAGCCGAAACCGAACTCAAGCAGTTGAAAAAACAATGGGCGAATCATGAAGCAACAAAGAAGAGAGCAGAAATTCGCCATGTCGAAAAGCTTCAACCTGTGCAAACGGAGCGCGGGTCTGCTGATGAGACCATACTTACGACCCCCAAACAAAGTATAGATATGGATCGAAAGAAAGCTTTTCTTGCCAATCTTCCTCACCTACCAAAAGATCAGAAGAATCCACGAAGGAAAATCATCACTGGTGGTCACACTCGCACACTTTCGCTCCTTTCCCCGGAAAGAACGACGCACGACTCTACACTCCCAGAATCGAACGAAACAACCTCAGTCGACCTCCCAAGAAGCACAACTATGCCGGATACAAGCATTGGCATCTCTAGAGTCAACACAAATCGAGCAAATAGACATTCATACCAAGGAGGACTAGGGGTGACACATGGAGTGAAACAGATTACAGAAGATGTTAAAGCTGGACTATGGACTTTTCTCGAGGACCTTCGTCAAGCTACAGTAGGAGATGAAGCGGTCAATGGCACAGCGAACAAACGATCAAGCTTGGACGCAACACAACGCGGACTAAATAAGCGAATTAGTAAGGGTAGTTTGCGAGGACGACGAGGAAAATCACCAAGACCAGACCCGTCATCACAAAGAACATGGGATTCCTTAACTGGTGACAATCCCGCTCTACTAGACTTGGGAGGCGCACTATGGCAAGACCCCGATACTCTTGCGGCACCCATAAAACCCACAAACGTTCAAAAGAAACGCGCAAGACCAATTTCTTTCCCTACTGCTACCATCGACGATGACGATTGGTCAAATTGGGATTCTCCAGCTCCTAAATCGCCCATGAGATGGAGCGGCAGTTCCACGCTATCCGGTCCAGTGACTCCTGGAAATGCAAGCGTTGAAGATGAAGTAAAGTGAGAATTTCATTTTGTTCCTCGCAAAGGAATAATTCACTAACAATACAATCATAGCATTATGGACTCGAACAACCCGCCAGACTCGCCCTCAAGAAGGGATGAAATCCCATGGCCTGCTCTCGACCAATTGAAACCGGGTAATCTTAAGAAAACTGTATCTACAATCATGAATCAATGGGAGAAAAGTCTTACTCCACCTCCCGAAGAAGCAACGTCTGAAGACTTTCTTACCGGTTCTCCTCGTGTTCAAGGGGGACGAGAACGAGTCGGAACCAATTTTGCCAAGACAAATTCTTAATGTATAGAGTAGTTGGCTGGTATCTCATAATAATGTTTTCTGCGTATAATGTATGGAACGGAATGACATGGCTGGATAGGATAGCACGAGATGGGACCGGTAGGAGATCTGAGATAGATTGTTGCTTTCTACCCTTGGTATTTAGATAGATCAGACCAGATTAGACCAGATGTCTCTTCTCTGATTGATGATAGATGATTTTGATGAAGGAATGAAATGATTTTATTGCCTACTTGTTGTTGCAGTTTGGTGTTCAGGTAGCGAGGGTATGAATGTTCAATCATCAATTAAATTAATATCACCCACTTCCAAAACATTAATAGTGAGATATTTTGATACTTAACTTCGTTTTGACGTTCAAGTGCCGTGTGATATATCGGTTGTCAAATTGTGATCTTACCATCTAGATAGCGTAGACTATCTACAATCCCCACCAACGTGGGAAATATTCTAATTTCTATATCCTCAGAATCTAGCTCACATGACTTCTATGTAACCAACCAACAACATTTCATTCCCCCCTTAAATCTTAGGACTCTCACCCAAAAAACCCTCCGCAACCGCCTTAACCAACTGCGTCGCAATGGCCGTAACAGATGGTAACCTCAAATTACCCTCTTTGTACCCCTCGCTAGCCGGTTCTCCCAACGGACTCGTTCCATTCAACAACGCTTCCCTAATCTCCTCCATCTCAAACCACTTCGCATCTTCCAATTCGGGATCATGCTCCAGATGAATCTTCTCACCATCCGGCAACGCTTGGGCAATCGCACCAATCATCAAATTCGCAGGATAGGGCCAAGGTTGGGTACTGTGAATGACGACACGACCGAGTTTCACCCCGGATTCCTCCCAGACTTCGCGACGCACGGCTTCCTCGACGGATTCGGCGGGCTCGCAGAACCCGGCCAGCGCGCTGTACCAGTATTGCGGCCAGCGCTTTTGGCGGCCCAGCAGAATGCGTTTGCCGTCGTGGCTGACGACGGCCATGATGACGGTGGGGTCGGTGCGCGGGAAACAAAGATTGGATATGCCTTTGCGGGTTGCGCAGGAGGCTCTTTGGGTGGGGGTTGCGGGGTTAGTTCCTGCTTGGGCGGTGGGGAGCGAGGCGAAATCGGTGGGGGGACACACGCGTTTGGTGCCTGCGTTGATCTGGGATTTTGTCAGCTTTTGGTGATATTTCAAACTAGAGATTTTTCTTTTGTTTTGTTTTCATCTCCACGTAAAGTACACTTACAGAAAGCGTAGGTTGTCCGCATCCTCCACAGAAAGGATTCCTAGCATTCCAATCCAGAAGCGCTCGTGCCTGGGCGAAAATCGCAGCTTCTTGTGCGTCCAGACTCATGATGATTCTTCCCTCTTGGAACACCAATCCTTTTTCCTGCATGGCTTTTACCACGCTATTTGCTTCGTTTTCATATGTCCCTTTGGGGGTGACATCGATTGCAAAATAAGGAATTCCGCTGTAAATTCCATGCTTAAATCCTTCACTATCTTTACTCCTCTCATCCAAGCCCAGGAATAAAACTAAGGGTAATGTCTTGGAAGAATTAAACTCTTTAATCATCGTCTCCTCATCTTTCTCAAACGGGTTCTGTCCCGTCAATCCCGTGATGTCGGAGTGAGAGGAATAGGCCAGGTGACTGGGATCTTTAGTCAGAGGGGCAAGATTGTTGAGAAGTAGGAAATTGGTGGCGGGATGTGTGAATGCGCTGGAGATGAACTCATGGTTTGTGCGGAGGAAGGAAACGCGGTTGAGAGGGGAGCCGGAAAAGTAGTTGGCTACTTCGCGGCCGAATTTGCGGGATAGCATGGAGTCGACGTCGGGGTGAGCAGGGGATGGGAGAGAAGGTTCGGGCATGGTTTGGATATTGTGGTTTGGATGGTGGCAAGGAGGAAGGGGGTGAGGGTGAGAAGAGTGTTCGAAAGGAGGGTTTATATATTATAATGTTTGGGAGTACCCGAGTAGAGAGAGATCAAAGCTATAGAGAGGAAATAGTGGGGTGGCTACTCTATCTTTTATCTAAATTCCGACCCTCGGGATTTCTAAGCCAACACATTTCGATTTGAAAGTCAGCCACTAATCAATTGTTGAGTTGTTCATTCGATTTGTTTGTTACATTGCCGGAGTCATCTTGAGAAGATTGGATTAGTATTACAAGCCGAGGGGTAGTAATCCATAGATAAATAGCCGTGAGACTTTGTCTTACCTTCGGAAACCCCTATGTTTCTTAAATTCTCCGATTCACATCACTCAGATGCAACCTCCAAACGTCCAAAATTGACAATGGCAATTGAGCTGTTCGAATTGCATGTAAATCGATAAATAATGACGTCTTCCCTCCTTCCCCCCGCCGAGCTCCGGCCAGTATCCAACTGACAAGTACCCCAGTCCCAGATACCTCTAATCGGACAAGCGTCCGCATCATGTGACAATCATTAGTCATGTGAGTTACAAACTACCTTCAAACCTTGCTTTGAACAAAGTATCTTTCACCGTAATTATTGAATACTCCAGCAAAATCTTCAAAACACAATAACAGACTTTTCACTTCGTATCTCGCTCTTTTGCTGTGATTAGGATATCAGAATATCGATCATTCGAGAAGTTGGCTCGAGTTGACAGGATTGCAATACTTTTCTTGTGTCTTACCATTACTAGAGAGGTTTGGTAGACCGCCACATTTACATCAGATCATATTAGAATTGGGTTAAGATATCGAGTCATAATTTTTTTCTTTGCTTTTTTGATAGCAAAATTTGGAGAGGGAGAGATTTTTTTTTCCGACAGGCTGTCAATTTTGAGTTGTTCATATTTGATATATTTACGATTCTTTTGAGATTGGATCTATACGAAACGATATCAAGATGGTTCCTCCGACTCAGAATTTGAATTTAGATATTACTGCTATCTCGGGGATATGTGGGTATGTATCAATCGAGATGTAGTTTGGAAATTTCGGATAAAGGAAAATGCTAACCAGATTTAGTTCGATATCGATTGCTTGTTGGATAGTGGTTTTTAGTCCTCAGATTATTGAGAATTGGAGACGAGGTTCGGTGAGTACTTTCATTGAGATTCTGTTTGCAAGCCAATTGGGTTGTTGAAAGCAATTGAATGAGTGCAATGTGCTAATGGTCAATAGGCTGATGGATTGTCTCTACAATTCATTATTATATGGCTTGCCGGTGATGTTTTCAATATCTGGGGTGCTGTGCTCCAAGGTGTTCTTCCAACAATGGTAAATATTGTCCTATGAATTCCACGTGATATCAATATTAACATCATTAGATTATCCTCGCCGTCTACTACACCATAGCAGACATAGTTCTTCTAGGTCAATGTTTCTACTATAAGGGCTTCACCTGGCGTGACGAAGTTAAGCCACCACCACCATCCCCACCCAAGCCCACCTACGCAGCAATAGCAGCTAGCACACCCAGCGAAACTACCGCTCTCCTCAATGGCTTAGAGAGAAGACACAGCGGTACCTCTGTCTCAGCTCAACATCTCTCTCCCGTTGTTCCGCTTCTCGACCCTTCTTCTAACGATACGCCCACCACCACCAAGAAAGCCAAAACTTCCCCAATGCAGACTTTCCTCTTCAATTTCTTTAGCATCATTCTTGTCTGCATTGCCGGTGTTCTCGGCTGGTGGATCTCCAACTCCTCTACCGCACAATCCCACAAAACACACGATAAACACTCATCCACTCACACCAGTCCAACCTTTTCCCCTTTGGGGCAAACCTTCGGCTACCTTTGCGCCATCCTCTATCTCAGTTCTCGAGTCCCTCAACTTCTCCTTAACCATCGTCGTAAATCTACTCAGGGAATCTCAATGCTTTTCTTCTTATTCGCTTGTATTGGAAATCTGACCTACGTCCTTTCCATCTTCGCTTACGAAGCCCCCTGTCTGACAGCTTCAAGACATGGACACTCAAAGTGCGAAAGTGGCGAAGCACGATCCGAATATCTTCGCTATATTGCTGTAAATGCGAGTTGGTTGGCAGGGAGCGCGGGTACGTTGTTATTGGATGCGGGAGTTTTCGTTCAATTCTTTTTGTACGGAGATGGAGAGGGAAAGATGGTGGAAGAGGAAGCGGCTGTGCAAGGAAATGGCGAGACGAATGGTGTTGTGGCTTAATAAGCCTTTGATTTGGGGGGGAATGTGTTATGTGGTGCGAACTGAAATTGAGTAGGTATCGAAAGCTTGATGAAAGGGGATGAAGCGTGATGGTTGTGGGATATTTGTGTTACTATGTACACTACACACGGGACGACAATTTCTTATGCAGATTGCAAAAAGGAAAGGTACTGGATGGATGGAATAGGATGAATTTGCATTTTAATTCTGGGCACAATAGCATGTTAAAAAAAAGGGTGGCATTTTGGAAATTTGTATCATATCTAAAATTGCATCAGGATATAGACGAAATATCTCTCATGTTAGATCAGAGCTGGAAAAGTAATACAATGTGCTTTTTTTTTGTGATCTACGGATATTGATCCATAAGATGCGAATATCAGGACAGACACCAGAGCTATTTATTCATGAGGCGTGAATGAGCAGATTGAGAGTAGACGAGCAGAGCGTGATATCGACGTGGGAATCAGATCGTGAGGTTGATATTTCCACCACAGGAGTAAATTTTACACAATGTGATCTAAGTACATCTCACAAGATAGTACATTACATGACGTGCAAATATCTGAATGGGGAAAGAAGGAAGCGAATCCGCGAGATTGAATGTCTTCCATTGAGTAAGAGTTGGATCTCGAAGTGATGGAGTGTCAGTTGAAATTAGTTTGTAGCTCATAGGGGATGAAAGATGAGAAGACCTGTTTGTTGGTCGGCATCTGTGAGTATATTTGTGACCTTGACGAGAAGAGAGAAGCGTGTGCTGAGATGAAGACGCGTGGGAGGTACTGTTTTGATAAAAGGGGGAAGATGATAGACGATAAGATACTTTTGTAATTGGTAAATCAAAAGCGAAAAAAAAAGATGTTAAGAATACCAGAAATCCTCTCCTTTGCATAATCATACCATGTCGCAGAACATAGATCTGAAGCTAGCTTTCTAAAATTTCTCCGAATGCTCTCGAAAATGGGTTTTGTATTCCCCTTCTCGTTGACTAGCTTTGTTCCTCTGGCGATAACGGAGGATCATTTTTGGATCCTCTCATTACGCGGTTGCTCCCAATCTGCTCCTAACCAATTTATCAATTCCTCCTCCATGTACTCATTTGAACATTTGTAGATGACGGATTGTAGGTCTTCGAAGTACATAATGACTTCGTGAAATTTTTTGCGTCTTTGTCATGATGTCGATGTAATCGAGTGTGCAACCATTAACCATACAATCTGTGAGAGGACGTATAAGAACAGCTTTGAGATCGTTATTCCACTTCAGAAAGACCCTTTCTGCCCTACCTATTGCGCAGCACAATGTCAGTGACTGTGGGGGTTGCATGTACAAAGAACTTACTCAGATATCCATTGATCCTTGGGTCGGTGAACAAATTCATTCCTTGAACACGCCAGAAGTGATTTCAATCTTTCGCAGACTTAGGTGATTACGCCTAACCCGAGTTTTCCAGGTTTATGCGTCTAGTATAAAGAATCCGAATGGAAAATATTGAAGTGTGTCGCTGAGAGCATGGTATAGCAACAAAGGAGGCCCCTTAAGGGTGACATAACTACTTCCCCAAGGAGTGAATGACGAAAGAAGATTGTGCTTTGTGGCGACTTTGAGAAGCAACTTCCTGCTCTGTTGATACCTTCCGCGAATCGCTATAAGAAGATCGTCTGTTGTTAACGGGCAGAATTGGCTGACTGAAATGGACTCGCTGAGGTCTTCGTCCTGCTGTGGCTCAAAGGTGTCAGCCAAAATAACAGCTTGGCCATTTCTTCCAAACAAAGTGTAATTTCGGGGCTTGGGAGAGGTCATTTTGACATCGAAACGGCAAAATTATGACCGATGATGAAACTGCCCGAATCGTACTATATTTATGTTTATCGAGTTTTGAATCAGTTCACTTGAAGTCGACGCCATCAAGTAATATCTTGTGTTTGCTTTCCCTGGCTTTGCTGTTTCTGCCTGACATTTTGATGTGCGTGCCTACCTGCCTACGCTGTGCCACTAGGCTGTTGAATAACATACAATATCAGACATAGAAAACCTTAGTAGCTGAAAAAATTTGTCCGCAGAACTCCATACCAGAACTGCGAAAATGGCGAGTGTACCAGACCCAACTCTCGGCAACCCATTTTTAATAAATATGCCAAAGGAACCAGGCGTCGGCATTATTAAAAATAAGATGTCTGAAGCAGAGCGATTGTTTCATTATTCTTATGCAACACTTTCTGAGGAATCATGCTATTTGGCGTTTCGTGGGCTACAACTACTTAACATTACTCACCTCCAGCTAGAATTAGCAAAGAAAAAAGCTGCCATAAGGACAAACAACGCAGTTCCTAACACCGATATTCAAGACCTAACTTCACTCTTGCACTAGTACGGTAAGTTTTCTGTCTTGAAGATAGTGTCTCTGAGGTCTTAGTAACATGCATTTCAAGCCGATGCAATTCGAGATTATGCTTCCCTTTCAGGCCTTCAAAATATCGCTGGGTCTCAAGCACAAGAAAAGCGTCACGATCTGACATATGCCTTTCTCGACATTGCCGGCTTACCGGGCGATCCATTTAATTCGGCTTATCGTCGTCTCCCAGATCAATCGTTGATTCCAGTCGACCCTCTGAGAAAGTGGCTCAAAGCGCGTCTGCCATCTTAACTGACATACACCAAGCGCGAGCAACTGCTTCGCACAGACGAGTATCTCAAAGGCGAACCACCAGAACAAGTTTCTCTCTTTGTCGATAAACTTGCACGATTTATAGTCGCCTTTGCTGGTGGACTAAGCCTTGTAGCCCCCATGCTTATCATGAGAATTGAGGAGAATTTGACGAAGAGTCTAGTGACGACGAGTATAGCTGTGGTATTGTTTGCTGGAATGACAAGTCTTATTCTCCGTGCAAATAACACGGAAACCGTCGCAGCAACTGCAACGTATGCAACCCTGCTTATGGTTTTTGTTGGGACAAATGGATGATAGAGCGAGTTGGATATTTTTTGTACTATTGAAAATGAAATTGAGACATCGCTTTTGGTCGCGACTTCCGTTTGTGTACCGTCACGTGGGACATCTAACGATTAATCATCCACCTTTCTGACCTGCGTGCTCGCCTCATTTCACGCAACGAAACCCTCTTCTCCAGATATCGGAAAACACAATTTTTTTGAATGTACATGATACCGCCGCAAGTGCCGCGCATAGGAGAGGTACGAAGTTTGGACGAGAATGTTTAGTCTCAACATGACATTTCTGGATTGCAGATCTTCCTCTAGCACCATCGAGGAAACGGGACCTTTCCCAAAATCTTCAACCAGAAATCTCCTGATTCTAATACGAGCTTACTTGTTGCGCGGCACCAAGTTTTAGTTCGTGTTGAAAGTGCCGTTTCAATGTTATTCCGGGCGTTTTGTGGTACGAGGTAGGAGTTCGTGTTTTTGACTCTATCCTAAAAATCATGCTTTGTCGCTTTTGATAGAACTTTATTCTAAATTGGTCTGGCCCGGGTTCTACGATCGTCATCCCGCATCATTCTGACCCCACTCCGACTTGTATTTCAGTTTTCCTTTCCATGGGAAGATATCGGCTTCTGGATTAGGCGTAGAGTGGTGCTATGGCGATTCTTTGGTCATCTTGGGTACACATACTTTGCATTTCTTATTTCTGCAAGAACGGTTTCCATTTCACATACCACTTTAAGTTCCTATGTACAGAAATTCCAGTTCCTCCTCTCTTATATATACTATACATGATATAAATATTTACAATGCCTACCGTCCACGCTAAAACCGATCCAGCGATCCTCTCCCAATTCGAAAAAGATATCAAAGACGTCCATCTCATTTACGACTACGCAGCGCAAGATGCAAACGGAAATCCCGAAAAATGGAAATATGAAATGTAACCCCCTATCTGCATCCTATCTTCAAACTTCACTAACACCCCCAGGTACTTCGCCCACCCCACTCTGATAATCTACGCCATTCACGGGGGGCCCATGGCCGGTCGCGTCAACTACCAACGCTGTTCCTTCCAGTGCATCCGTCCCGGTGATCTCTGGCAATGCAACTGGCTTGAAGAAACCGGAACAATCTGCTCTCTCGTCTATGATATCCCGAACAAGAAAATCAGCACCCTACTTGCATTTTCGCAAGGACATTGGGAAAATGCAAAGGAAGCACATGGAGATAAGCGAAACTCGGAGGATTTCGAACGGTGGAGAAAGTTGGGAAAGATCGGAGGACCAACGGATCGGTATATGTTGAACGAGCAAGCGGATGTTCTGGAGACCTTCAAAGGGAAGGGAGATTTGGGGTGGGTGGAGGAGGGTGTGGAGACTATGTGAGGAGGTGATCTGGTGCAGATGAAGATGCTTTTGACAGCCAAATACCAGTGATGATGTCTTGCTCGTTGAAATCATTTCAGGGGCGATTTTGTGTATGAATATAAACATTGTAAATACCTAGTATTGTCGAGACCACAATTTACATGTATTATGTCCAGAATCTGGAAGAACATCAGTGTAGAAAGCTCAGCAATACATTTCAGGTTGTATTATTATTGGTTTGTGTATAAGAATATTTTGTACATGGAAATGACCCGTAATCATTCCTTCCCATCAGACCAACGCCCCATCACCGCTTATCCTCATGTCAATTTAACCAACCATTTTGCGCCCATAAGAAATAAACCTCTAATCTGCAAGTTTTCTCTTTTGTCGCTCTCTCTCCATTTTCTTGAAGAAGGCAGAACTCTCTCCCTTGTTCTTCTTCAGATCCTTATTTCTGCTCCTATTTTGCTCAACATATGCCATATCCTGCCCACCAGCCAAATCTGCGAGTTTGCCCGCAGTTCTTCTAACATTCGACTTCTTCTTCGGCCTGGGTTTGCCGTCGTTTCGATGGAACAGATCATCTCTGAGATCTTCCTGGAACTTCTCCTCGTCCATGTTGTGAAGCATCACGTTTTGCAAAAGCTCTCTTCGGTCCTGAGGCGTGTTAAATGCGAGGCCAGGGAGATCTTCAATACCCTGGAGATGAGTAATGGCTTTGAACGCATATCCTTGATCGACAAGGAATGCTTGACGTTTTGAAGAATAATACATCTCCTTGGTATCTTTCGAAACTAAAGAATAGAAGAATGCATTGAAACCTTCATCATTTCTACGTTTTGCTCTAAGAATTCTGCCCAATCTTTGTGCTTCCTGTCGACGGGAACCAAAATGAGACGAGATTTGGATAAGACATGTTGCTTCAGGTAAATCGAGAGAAGTGTCACCAATCTTCGAAAGAAAGAGTGTATTGATATTGGGATTGTGTTGGAAATTCTCCAGAATTCGAAGACGTTCGGTTTGAACCGTACCACCATAAATGAAAACTTTCCCCAACTTTTGAGCGTAGACGTGCAAGGCGTAAACATTGTCAGAAAACACAATAATCTTATCGCCACGCTTCTCATGATAGTCTATCAAGAACTGACATGCCTGGAACTTCCGGGGGTTCATTGTAGATATCAAGCCCTGCTTGCGACTAGGTGCTTTCAAATACTCCGAGTGAAATTCAGTAGTCATCGGGCACCAAACTTCTGCACATTGAACTCTCGCAATATGACCTTGAGCTGCGAGTTCCATCCAGTTGGCTTCATACAATTTGGGACCGATCAAGAAGTTCAAATCTTCAATTTTATCATCCTCACGAAGTAATGTAGCCGTTAAACCTAGTTTCGAATGGGTTTTGATTGATGAGGTGACTTTTCTGAAAATTTGAGCAGGGACAACGTGGACCTCGTCTAGAAGCATCAGTCCCCATTCTCTGCTCGTCAAGAAATCCATCATCTTTTGGGCGTCGAAAGCTCGCGCACGTGTCTGCGTGACCATAGAATAGGTTGTGACAATAATACCGGTACTCCTTGTAAATTTCTCTTTATGGTCCGAAGTAAATACCGCGATATCAGCTGGATTGATGTTGGACCATTTCAAAAATTCCTGTCGCCATTGAACAACTGACATAGAACTTGTGCAGAGGACAATGACACCCTTCTTGATTGTGCAAGCCGCGGTGATACCAACTAAGGTTTTCCCAGCTCCACAAGGCAACACAATAATACCACTCTTAGCTCGACCATTACCAAACATTTTACTCAAGCTTTTCTCCTGGTAATGTCGAATTTGGGCACTAGGTCTCAAATCAATCTCGAGATTTGGATTAACTTCGTCGTTACGGAAATCGTATTCTTCGAGTACAGGCAGTGCGAGGTCCAGGCATCGTTTTTGTACCGCTTCTACGCAGTTATCAGCAATCTCAAACGAATGAACTGCCTCTTCTTCGTCATCATCATCGTCCTCTTCATTAAGCTTTGCATAAATATCATCCTGCGTAGGTTCTTGTCCTGCTTGCTGTCTATCCGTTACACTCTGTCGTCTTTCTCCGGTTTGTTGAACTCCAGCTGCATTCTTTGTTCCTGGAATAACCAAGGCACCCATGCTAGGTGCTATAGTTGTAGTAGTGGACCCTTGAACCCTGAGCGGACCAATTATAGGATCTGACAGAAGACGTTGTAGCAAGTCAGGATCTGAAGTTTCGACATAATGTTTTGTATTCTTAAGGACCAGCTTGACTTTGCCATAACTCTGAGAACAATTGATGATGAACTTTTTAACATTCTCAGGTATGGGTATCTTTGAAAGACGGTCAAGAACATTAACAATATCCTTCGGATCCAGCCCAACTGATACAGCGGCATATAAACTATGAGGTGTTAAAGCATATTCGTGTAAAAAGCTAGGTCTCGACTTTGGCTCTGCTATTGTAGTCAGGAAATCTTGAGCATGCGCTGCTAGTGGAGAGAAACTTTCTAGGATAATGCGCGCCTTTTCAGGATCTATCCATAAAGGACGATTTGCGTGATCAGGCTTCAGTGATAGGTATGAAAAATCGTTATTGCCAAAGTGGTGACTAGCAGAGTCCCTAACTAATTTGGAATCCGATCTTGGCCGGTAACTCTCTGCTGAGAATTTATTTATAGTCTTTGCAATACTGGCTTTCTCCTCCTCTGTAGCTTCTAGACCTTGACGTTCAAGTTCATCTACGGTGCCATCTTGATAGTCATCATCACTATCACCACTGCTCATATTACTACGAGGGGTTGCAGGTCCTGGTGTAGAGACAGCAGAGTCTTTGTTCGATTTGGTAGAGCCTCTCACACCTGGGAGTTGTTAGTTATTACAGATTCATATTAAAGCAAGTATACAGCCTCATACTTGATGTGGCTTTCCTCTTTGGAGGCATCTCGAAGTTCCTTCAAATAATTATACCTTGTGGGTTGTTTGATTTATTTACAGGAACTGGAGAAATGATGATCTAGGTTTCCCTTTTAATGTCGGTGGGAGAGCTAAGAGGCGTAAGGCTGAGTTACTGATTAATAAGCTTTTCACGCTAAAGTTATTTGGTTCAGCCTGGGATTCACTGTTTTGGAACCATTTTTCTGGATCGCATGTGAAGCCGTGATTGGAGTTGGCCGATAGATATCAACGAAGTCCTCCAGCAGAAGATCGTTGATCGAACAATACACTCAAATACGTCAAATCACCATACTCATATCATGTGGTAAGATATGATTATTCTCAACATCATTCAGCCATCTAACAAAACTCTAGTAAACATATTCTCAACGCGCAAGTTTCAATTCGGTCGCCATGCTGTAGGAACAACCTTCTAAGATAGTCTTCCCATACTAAACTCCAACCAAAGGTCGAAAATGGTTTGACTGTGCCGAATGTCACCAGGAAACTGAATCACATCCTCTCAAGAAAACCACAGAAATGGTATTACTTGCCCTTACACCCCGCTTTCCTCGACCCCTCATACTAACTGCAGTGTGAAGACTTTCGCATGCAAAAAATGTAAAAAGGCATTCAGGAAGGATTTTGCCGATGAGACAGATGACGGAGACGAATACTGCCCGCACTGCGATAATCATTATGTTATTGATGCGATCGAGCCAAAACCAATACTGAAATTCGAAGGCGAGGATGTCAGGAAGGATAGTAGAATGATTAAGGATGATCGACTGCAAGGGAAGGAACGGAGAACGATCTTTGATGTGGAGGAGGCTCCAAACAAGTTGGGATAATACGACACGTCATGAATATGGAAAGTAAAAAGGGGTCTGATTTTAGCGGCATAGGCATGGAAACTTGGGACGTAGAGCGAATGATTAATGAGAAGCTGATACGCATATATGACGGAAGTGATACTGTTATGGCACATGATACTCAGCATGAACTTGAGATGCATCAGAAGCATCAAAGCTGTGTCATTTCGTCGCTCATTGCTATATTACAGAGGCTCTATGAAGTGCAGAAAGTCATAAATATCAATCCACTTATTGGGCAGCAGCATCATCAGGTCCTCTCGCCAAGATTGAAGTGGTGCCTCCCGAACGACCACCCTTCTTCTTAGCAGCTTCCTCGGATTTCTCTTGCTCGATATCCTTCACATATTTCTCAATATCCTCTACTGGCAACATCTCAATGAGTTTGCCTGGTGCCATGATAGCAATCTCAATATTCTTCGCTCCAGTTTGAACAACTTCCAGTAAAGACTTGATTGTCAATTTGATGGTAGCTTCCCTATCCATATCATCCTTATGGTTTCTCTCTAGGAATTCTCGTACAGTCTTGCTTGATCTACCGATAGCATTGGCTTTCCTAGAAGCTTGTTAGAATATGTAAAATCCATAGAACAAAATTAACATACCATGCTGAGTAGATTCCAGATGGCTCTGTTTGGTATAATCTTGGAGTCTGATCATTGGGGTCGAATCCAACAATCAAAGTACTAATACCAAACGGTCTAACACCACCACTTTGTGTATATCTTTGTTGCACACCAGCCACATACTTCGTGATGTATTCTATTGTAACTGGATCCTCCACTGTAAGACGATGCGATTGTGCTTCTAATCTTGCCTTGTCGACCAAGATTCTTGCATCGGCATTGAGACCTGCAAAAGCTAGGCAAACGTGGGTATCGACGAGACCAATTTTTGAGGGCGTAATACGGGTATCTTGTAACTTCATTGCGGAACGCTTCTCACATCCCAGAACGACAATATCCTTGCCCTTTACTCCAACGGCGCATGTTCCTAGATTGAAGCATAAGCTGTTGTCCACTGATTGCTTATAGCTATTTTAAGTACCTCTCTTGACAGCTTCGAGAGCATATTCGACTTGGAAGACATGACCATCCGGACTATGACAGCTGTTAGGTTGATTTTTAAATACAAATCGATTCGTAAACTAACCTGAAAACTATTATATGTTAGCTACCTTTATTAATCTATTTACCCAATGGAAATAGCTTACCAGACAACGCTCTATCATATCCTGAAGCCATAATTTATGATGATCTGAACCGTAAAGTGAAATTAAATGGAGTTATTGGGTATTTTGAAAAGGATCGAAGCTTAATGGGAAATGCGAGAAATATTGATGAAGCTTGATGTTTGAACTGCAGGCAGCTCAGCATACGAAGCTACGCGACAGGAAGGTCCAACGGACATGAGCCTGGCTCTACAATCCTCAGGCATCAACCTGACAAGGCTGTGGATATGCGGGATGTCCGCCAAGGCAGCGCACGAGCCATCTCAGTACAAGGCAAAATCACAGCCTTTCGAGATATGGCCAAAACGCCCCGAGCCATTGCGAGTCGAATTCTTTTCCAAAATTCTTAAGACAATTTTTTTCAATATCCTGAAACCTCCAAGATTCTAAATCTATAAGAAAATATAGTTAGTCTTTTCTAGAAAGCCCCAAAGTTGAAAGTTCACTCAGACGTGCAACAAAACGTTTGGAAGAGATAGACTAAATAAGCCAGGATAAAGCTCGCCATCGTGACCCCACTCTTAATTTCTTCCCCCTCAAGAATTTGGAAAGCCTTCTTCAAATTGAACATCGCAAACATGGCAGTTCGATCACGCATTGCTCTCGCCGCCCGCAGAGCTAGGGTATCGCCGGCGTCATCCTCGTGCTCGAAAGTAAGATCATTACGACCATTGACTCAAACCCGATGGCAAAGTACCGCTAGCACGGAGGACACTGAAGGAATAGCCAAAGGAACAACTGGCACATCGAAGACCATAAAATTTACATCCGAAACATACCCTGATATAAAAAGAGACTCGAGGTTCGCAAAAATCACTGAGGAGAATGTGAAATTCTTCAAGGATTTACTGGGCAAGGAATCTGCGATTATTGATGGAGTTACAAAGGATGCTACAGATGATCTTGAGCCGTTCAATGGAGATTGGATGCGCAAATATAGAGGACATACTAGTTTAGTTTTAAAACCTGGATCCACCGAAGAAGTGAGCAAGATTTTGAAATACTGCAATGATAATATGTTAGCAGTTGTACCACAGGGTGGAAACACTGGACTTGTCGGAGGATCTGTTCCTGTATTCGATGAAATTGTTATCAACATGAGCCGAATGAACCAAATTCGATCGTTTGATGAGGTTTCAGGTACTCTTGTTGTGGATGCTGGTGTTGTCTTGGAAGTTGCGGACAATTATTTGGCAGAGCGCAAACATATCTTCCCATTAGATCTAGGCGCAAAAGGATCATGCCATATTGGAGGTAACGTAGCAACAAATGCTGGAGGTTTGAGACTGTTGCGATATGGAAGTTTACATGGAAATGTTCTCGGCATCGAGGCAGTTCTACCAGATGGAACAATTGTGGACGATCTCTCCAAGTTACGAAAAAACAATACTGGTTATGATTTGAAACAATTGTTCATCGGTGGTGAAGGTACAATCGGTATAATTACTGGAATCTCAATCATTTGTCCACAGCGATCAAACGCCATCAATGTCGCATTCTTTGGTCTCGAATCTTTCGAAAAGGTCCAAGAAGCTTTCAAAGAGGCAAAAGGACAACTTTCTGAGATCCTCTCTGCTTTCGAACTTATGGACAGTCACAGCCAAGATTTAGTTCAAAGAGTAACAAAGAATAAGAGACCATTGGAGGGTGAGTATCCTTTCTACTGTCTCATCGAAACCAGTGGTTCCAATTCCGAACATGACCAAGAGAAATTGAACAATTTCCTCGAACATGTCATGGAGAAAGAGATCGTCTCAGATGGTACCTTAGCTGAGAACGCAACACAAATTAAGGATCTCTGGAGCTGGAGAGAGGGCATCCCCGAATGTCTCGGTCACTGGGGTGGTGTCTACAAATACGACCTTTCCATTCCTTTGAAAGAACTCTATCAACTCGTTGAAGATGTACGAGGAAAAATCACTGAAGCTGGTCTCATCGGCGATACTGAAGATCACCCAGTCGTAGGTGTTGTAGGTTATGGGCACATGGGAGATTCGAATTTGCATCTCAATGTAGCTACTCGAAGCTATGATAAAAGAGTTGAGAAAGTATTAGAACCATTTGTGTATGAATGGATTGCTAAGAGGAATGGAAGTATCAGTGCCGAGCATGGGCTAGGCTTAGCAAAGAAGAATTATATTGGATATAGTAGGAGCGAGACGATGATTGGGCTGATGAAGGGGATTAAGAACCTCTATGATCCTGTAAGTTTTATGGCCAGGCCCAGACCATTAAATTTGTGAACATGTACTGACTTTGTCTAGAATGGAATCATGAATCCATATAAATATATCTAAGTGGATATGAAGAAGATTGCGGTTGTAGTATAGGACAACACCACGTGTCCATATGGGATTTGGATATCATCTTTGTTAAGCGGGAAAGAGAAAAGTCAAGTGAATGAAGAGTTGTATATACTTGTATCATATACCAAAACTCTCGAAGTATATAACACTCATCATATAAGCAGTAGCAAGACGTGTCACGCATAACCAACACCCCTAAGTTATCCTGTAACTCTTGTCTTTTCATTTATTCATATCTCGCTCCAACCCCATCTCTACAAAGCGATGCCTTCCCACAAGATACAAAAAACTGAGTCCTCAATCTATCAAACTGCATTCAAAACATCAGGCCTGCGCTAGTCACATCATCCGAAAGCCTCATACAGCTCGTCATCTCGAAAAATTCTCTGCCATTGATTCTTGTATATCATCGTGAAATATTGATTACGGATGTGACTTTCTCCACTGTTGTGATAACCCTCAAGAAATGTAAGAGCAATGTGTCAACATGGTAGTCCAAATCTTCATTCTCTGCGCAATTTCCTACCCCGCCGCAAAGTTGCATGGAACATTGGCTCTTATCAAAGCACGCGCTGAACCCTGCATGAACAACGCACGTCATTTTCTCCACCTGCCTTTCCGAGCGACTGAGCCGAGGAGTATGTCATTGGTCACTGGTTCTATCTATATACTTCGTACAGAACTATTAAACTCTCTCTCACAACCTCATCCTCCTACCCTCTCGCCCTCTACATTCCTACACAAATACTCACCATGTCCAGCCCCTCCCCCCTTGTCCATTTCTACGACCTCTCCGGTCCCCAACCCTGGTCCCCCGCCTGCTGGCTCACCCGCTACGCCCTAAACTACAAAAACATTCCCTACAGCGTCGAGAAAATATCCTACCCCGCCATCAAACCACTCTGCGAGAAACTTTTTCCCGATATGACTAATCTCAGCGCCACCGTCCCCATTATCGAGATTCTCGCGCCGCCCCATCGCGCGCTAAATGATTCTACACCTATTGCTAAATTATTGAATGAGAGGTTTACAGAGGAAAATGGGTATAGGCATTTGAAAGGCGTAGAAGAGCTAGAGGAATATGAAGCGACTAGCGCGCAGTTTCTGGGGAGATCGATTGTGAGGTGGATTATGAATGATGTTTATGAGAATGCGCTTGATAAGGATGATGGATCGCGGGAGTATTTTAAGAGGACGAGAGAGGAATTCTTGGGGTGCGAGTTGAAAGATGTTACGGAGGTGAGGGGGGGTGGGGAAGCTGCTGTGCTGGAGGATTTGAAAGTGAGATGGAAGGGGTTGAGGGAGAGGATGGTGGTGGATGATGGGGAGAGCGAACGTGAGTTTTTGATCTGATTGTTTGAGTCTTGGGTTTCGGAGTGAGAAAATGCTGATGAGTGATAGCGACATATATTGACTTCTACGATGCTGCTAATGTTAAGTGGATTGCAGCGGCATCTGAGGCGAAATTGGAAAGGCTTATGGATTTGTATGGAGATGATACTTTTGTTAAGCTGATGAAGAAGGTTGAACCTTGGTCTCGATGATAAGCGAGTGGAGAGCAGATATGAAGTAGTGGGAGGAAAGCTCGTCGCTGAAAACCAGCTGCGAATCACTAACATCTGGTCACGTGGATTTGATAACTCATTTGTCAAACAACTTGACTATTGAATCGTTGTTGATTAGACTTTGAGTTATGCGACTTACACTATACCTTTGTATGATATAGAGAATCTCTTGCCTGAAGAACTCTATCCTGCAATTCTCATAACCTCCAATAAATCTTCAACACAAACTTCCATGTTGCGGTGACTTCAGCTTATCGCTCAGTGTTGAGTACAGTTTGGTTCGAATGTTTCTCTGTAAACCCTCAAGAGAGGAAGGACAATAACATGCGGAGCATAATCCGGAGACTACGAAAGTCCCAGAGATATCCCGGAATTCAAAATGGGACATTGTATATCATCCAGCACAATTTTACTACTTGCACTATCTAGAACCTTGCATTCATATATTGAAAGTGAGCCAAAGTCTCATATGTAGCATTTCCATTGATCCAGAATCTTTGATATCGCGTTCCGAAAGGGATTTGAAAGGGGATTGAAACGAGGTTGATCTCGCAGTTGGTGTTGAAGCCGAGATAGTACGGTACGATTCCATACATGTATTAATCCTGGAAGAAAGGAATTTTACTGTCAGAGAGTCAAGAGAAAAGATATTAGACTCCGCGGTTCAAGTGGTTTTCAAATTTGTTCAGTCCATTATCACTGGTGATATATGCAGCCAATCGGCCAACTGGTGACTATGTCGTTCTGAGTAGGACTCTGCAACTCTTTGAATCGAAGTAGTTTGGAGTGCCAGGATGTTTAATCGCAAAATGATGTAAGGACATCTGAAACTCACATGAATTTCATTATCGTATGCTGAACGTAGGTAAATTTAACAGGATGAGAACTCCTACCTAAAATAACAAACATTCGTTCTTCCCATCCAAACATATAAAACCAAGATGCGAAGAGACCGAAGAGGTATCTCCTCCAATACGTTTGCAAGATCAAGACCGAATCAAGTATCGTGATTAATCAACCCATTCCCCGGGTATAGACAAATTTGCAAGGGCAGCTTGAAGTGGATTCTCAATGAGTTTCCAGAAATCTCCCGCATATTCATCCGTCCGTTCGTAGAACAATAATTCCCAATCCTCAATACGAGGTCCATACTTGAATCCTAAGACGTGTACCAGCAGCCAAGTCTGAGGGGCATCCAAATCTCGGGTCAATCTTCTCTTATGATAAATTGAAGATTCTACTTTGCCATATGTATTGAGATCGACACCTAAATCGATCAAAAATCCAAGCCACATCTTGAAGCTACAGGATCTTTTTTCATGAACTCCAAGTCTTCTCCGGCAATCCCGAAATTCTCTTTGCAATATCGTTTCGCCATTGTGGTCCAATGTATGTAATGAAATACCGGCCGACATCATTTTCTTGATGAGGTCTACCCCGTTATCTTTGAATCCATCTTGCGAATATTCTCTGCAAATTGTTACAAAGAATTTTTCCACGACAACATTATCACGATGCAGTGCAATCTTTGCCTGGAAATTAGGATCCTCAAGATATGACAACATCAAATTTTGAGATTGTACACTTTCAGAGCTCATAAACCGCAAAGCAATATCCAACTTATCTATGAAATTTATCTCGCCAGAACTCATGTACGTGTGCTGTTGAATATAGTGAAACAGCTCTTCAGGGCCACTAGCACTGATGGCTAGCACGTCGGTCTGATCAATGAGCTCCGAGTCTGCCCCTGCTTCGACGAGGGTTCGTAGGATATCGAGTGCGTGAGTATGGTCAAATGCTTGAGAACGATATATATGATTGTGCCGCGTAGTGAAAACAAATGCTGATAATGGTGTTTTGCTAACGATGATTAGCCATGTAGACTAATTTAAAATTTTTAGATACGTAAGACTGGTTAGCATACCCAAATAAAGCCCCCTCACTGGAGACATCTGCCCCTTTCGCTAGAAGAAGCTTACATAAATCAAGATGATTATGTGAGGCAGCTATCTAATTCAAGATTAGTTGTCGATGACCAAATAAAGCCGTGCAAAAATTTACATGTAGAGGCGAACCATTATCCCAAGACCCTGTTACAGGGCGTGCCACAAACTGATCGTTCACAAAAGCCGTTCGATTTGCTAACATCTCTTGGACACCAACAACATCCCCTTTTCTCAGGGCATTATAAAAAATTGATTTGGTATCCAGAGTACGATAAGTCTGAATGTTGACGTTCCACCTTAAGGTTGATAGATCTTTGGTGTACATACACTGCCAGGCTCTATTTGAAAGCCAAGCTGGGGGTTTGTATTTCGCTTCTGTTTCTTCAAACCGATTTCTTTCTAGTTTTTGTTGTGTCTTTCGAATGTCGATCGAGCCCATTAAATATAAAGACCAATTCAGCGAGTATATTCGACTGGACATCTGTGCGGAGGTACAATCTTCGGGCACAAAGCGTGGTGTTGAATTGCTATCGCGTTTCGAGTTCTGTGGCTGTGTAATTGTTGCAACATTGCTTGGTGGCACTAGAGCATCCATCGAGGAGATCTGGATGGTTGGATACGACATTGGCGGTGCTGGAATAAGTTTCTGATAGTTTATTAAAAACCGATCGAGAGAAGTCTGCATTTTCAACTCGAGGATTGGGAATTGTTCTTGGAGGGTAGCACTGCTGACTATGAGTAACTCGCGGTCTCGCAAAGAAAGCAGTGTCAAAACTCACTTTGTTTGCCATGTGATAGCAAGATTCATCAGTCTTGAAGCATTTTTCATTCTCTTCTTCAATCTCTTAAGTTGATCATTTTTCAGTACCACCTTCGTGGCGCCCAATTTGCTTCTCCATTTATTGCTTGAATTGATCTCCTTTCCAAGGACCTTTACAAGCTCGTTCAATTCATTCAAAGAGTCTTCACACAACTTTAGACTATTCTCGAGAAACGTGTTCGAAGGCCTGCCAGAAGAGGCGATTTTGGCCTGGCTTTCCAGAATACTTCGAAGTATCAGATGATGGGCATCAATCTCTCGCACCAAAAAGCCAATATCGTCGGGCGCATCTTGAACTTGATCCCAATAACCCTTCAGCTTGATAATGCTCGAAGCAAGATTGCCCGCCAGCTGAGCAACACCGATGCCACTAGCAACTGTGCCAAGAACCTCTGCCATGTTGTTATGTAGTCTGAGTTTGTCAATTATTGAAAGAAATATAAGCTGAGATATAATTGTGAGGCTTCGTGGATTTTGAAGTGCCCGAGAAGATACAGCCTCAAACCGGCTGTGCTAACTCCAGCTCATATATGGATATTCAGCATCCAATCAACCCTGTTCATCTCCACTCTCCAGAAGATGCTTGTTGATCCGATAACATTCAAGTGAAATTTGGAACAAGAATATTTTTGATATAGCAAAAGTAGGTATCTGGTATCAACGCGAAGGTTACAAGAATAGAAGGAAGCATTCAATGGGATAAAAGTATACATAATAAGATCAAAAAAGAAGAAAATAATAGAAACCCCTTCCTTACTAATTATTGTCTATGACCGGTATGTTTGACACGACCAATGGTTAACCTACAGGATGGTAGGAGAAATATAAAATAATTGCAGTTTCCTATTTCACATTTTCTAGATTCAATTTAGCAACAGCGCAGTCGTCGACGCATCATGTAGAGGTGTGTATTCAACCAATGATGGGATTTCCAACTAAATTTCTGTGAAGTCACTCACCTACCATTATATCATGATCATCACGTTCCTATTCATACCACTTCTCTATCATGTTGAATGATATCAATATCCCCTCCGAATTGCACTTCGCACTTTTTGTTCTCGATGTCCTTTCTATACGATGGGAACAACTTGAAAATATATGACAATGAGGTTTGTGTATCACGAGACGAGCTCCCCACCACCAAGCCAAGACCCCCAGCTCCACAAACCCACCACAAGATCACCCACAACCACTCTCCCGCTACCCACCCGGCCCGGCTCCTACCCGCTCCTAGTCCATCTACCTACCTCAGTAGTTCCGAAGCTTAGATGAATGAAACAAGTACAACTACAACCATAGCCATAACCACGACCACGACCACGCGGAGATATATGTAGTGAGCTAGTGAGCTAGTGAGTTGGTATACATATGCAGCGGAGTTATCTATCCATCTGTCTATGATCTATGATCGCTTTGCAGGTACTAAGAGAACATATATAACCTTAGGTACAACAGAAATTGATGTATAAGATATATAACAAGACGAGATGCCGGAACGGGATATTAATACTCCTGATGGTGGAATTAGTTCGACCTAAAGTTTCAAAATGATTAGCATATATATTATTCCGTTTCTTGGGCACGTTCGCTGTGTTATTATCTCTGGTACATACTGAATTTCTACGGTTTCGGTTCCTGCGGTTTCCATCGATCTATCACGTGTATTTCTTCTTCCGGGGCCCAATTGTTGGTTTCAGCCTATAATGTGTCTTGGGTATTTATTGGTTGATAAGGATAAGCCTCCCGTCATCAAGCCAGAAATACTCCTCTACAAAGACTTTCCAAAATCACCACTTTCAATTGAGACATCGCAATAGAAGTACCAAATCTGAGAAGCCTCGTGGTATTGTACTTCGTATAAAATGTCCGGATCGAATCGACATTTGGACTGGAAAGATATCTTCCTATGCTACCCCATCTTCGATAACATCTGTGCCCATCTCGATCCCAATGACATCTTGTTTTTTCGATTGACCACCAAACAACTTGCCTCATCATTTACCTCGCTCTTCAAGACCCAGTGGAATATCAATCGCCAACTCACCCGCTTTGTGAAGAACCCTGTCGGCTTTCGGTCAAAGTTAGCTAAGCACGATGCCCTCATATCTGGAAGCTTCGCTTTACAATTCTTCGAGAGGAGATTCTGGCTTGACTCTGACCTGGATATTTATGTGCAAGATGCGAACAACTTCAGGAATCCTGAACAAATAGGCGAATACTTGGTCAAGCATGAAAGCTACAGACTACAAGGGTCGAAAACGGAAGCAAACGGTGGCTTAATGAACCATGTGGGCCAATTGAAGTATATTTCACAGGTATTTCATATCCCAAATCATTCATTATATATGCTTATATGAATTCAGATTGAATCATACCTTAGGACAAGCTCGACCAAGGAGAAGCCAATTCAGATCCAAATAATCTACACAACCAACATTCCTTTCCAAGCAATCATCAAGGGCTTTCATACATCACTTGTTATGAACGTCATCTCGTGGGATTTCGCGTATTCACTTTTCCCTGATATGAGTTTCATCAAGAGAACAGCTTACGAAATAAATGGAGGCGACAATGGCCAACTCCAAGCTAACGCCGACCAGGAAGATCCTGAAGCAAAATACAGACGAAGAGGATGGGAATGGGAGAAAGCGGCAGCCATTGGCGATTCAAAGAATTTACACTCCCTAAACTTGGCCAGCCGCAGAAAAATTGACGATTCGTATACATGGACCATCATACTTGATACAAACGATGTAAATGGTGGCCAACCTTCGTATCTTTTACAACACTCTTACTTCAAAGTCGCACAACTTAGTCCACCCAACACGCAGTATTTCGTGGATATGAATATTGTTCGTAGCTGCATCCTTCGTTACGAATATACAACAACGATGAAGTTTTACGACCAATTCTCGTTCTGGGCATCGGTAAAACCGAAGCTAGACGACTTGACTCATACTCAACTCTTAAAATTTCCCGAGAGTGAACGGCCGATTTCTCTACGAACACGCGGTCCTAGTGGCTACAAGATAGAATATAACTCGCGTACCATCAAGAGGCGTGTGCCAGAGCTAAAGGGATGGATCTTCTACGATGATCAGATCCCGATATGGTATGAAGAGTATCTCAAAGACGAAGAAGCTAGATTGAGGGCTAAACAGGAAATGGAACAAGCCGAATTAGAGCTAAATATCGTAAATTAAGTAGAGGTATTTATTGCCGAACAAGAGAGGTATGAGACGGAACAAGACGACTTGGAGTTATCCCTGAACGGCAAAGCAGAGATATTGGCTGGTGAAGTGGAGAAACTCTAATTTGATTAGCTGGGCTGAAGGTCTTGGGTCGAGATTACGACATCGAGGGGAGAATATCGAACACCACATTTCCAAGCTTACATTTGACATCGACCGACTTTTTTTGGTCGTGAACATAGGCGGGAACTTCCCAAATCATGCTAGTATTAATTGCCCTTGGCCAGAGACTTGATAAGTTTAAGCTGGCTTGGCTTTGAAAGAGTCCTGGAGATCTACAAGTTGCACATCAAGCATTCATGCATGATACTTGGTGCAATTCATGGAGCTAGAGAAATAGCGTTTTATGCAGTTATTGATTATTTATTTACCACCGCTATAGCGTTCGGCGAGACTGCGATCGGAAAGCCCTTCATTTACTACTCAAGCTCTAGACATTCAACTATTCTAGACCCGGTACTAACCCACATCTCATCCTCGTGATCATAAATCATAACTCATCTCGCATATTCCCCAGATCCAAATATTAACTACACCATCTAGGATGCAGACTCTTCAATTTCCTCACCCTTGACACGGACAATCTGTTCGGCGAATTCGATTAGTAAACAATGTATATATGTCCAAATTCCACTGAAAGAATTGAATTCTACTCACAACAATACTCTTTTTCTCCCGAGGTCTTCAAAGGCACCTTCAGTGGAGGCAACATCAGCTCCGTCTCTCTTTTTAGATGCAGCCTCCTCAACTTCCTCGCCCTTTACACGAACAATCTATTTCCACGAGTTTGATTAGCAAGAACTTAATCATAACATTCGAGCTCTACTAAAGAGCCTGGGGTCTAACTTACGACGATGGTCTTCTCTTCCTCGAGAGCACCTTCAGTAGAGGCAGCAGCGACCTCGTCTCTCTTGAGGGGAGCAGCAATGACCATGCCAGTGATGGTTGCGAGGAAAATAGTTACGACAATGAACTTCATGATTGCGGTTTGAGTTGACTTCTTGAAAAGACTAAATTGGTTTTTTTGAGGTAGATGAAGAGATATCTGAGATGAAGTTATCGGAGTTGATGATGATAAGTTTAGGAAAGTTCTGTGGATAGCAGTTTTATATATTGCTTCTCGCTGGAGAAGTTTAGTGGTATCGATATCTCCCTAGTATTACTAGCGGATTTGTATTTGCATTCATGATTTCATTCATTACAACTCCGATAAAAGCTAAACTGTCTGCAGAATTTGATCGCGCAAACAACACAATGATTTCAAACTTCTTCATCTGCAATTCGAAATTGTACGAGCCTCGTTCACCTAGGCTAAGTTATCGCGTCGGCTTGCCGTAGGGTGCTCCATTTTCGCTTGTGGTCAGCTTGCATACATAAGTGGGTAGGTAAGCTTGTTCTCCGTGAATACTTCCGGCAGCTTTTAATAAATGACATTTCCTTTCATTAAATACTTATTGCATACACTGCTTGAAGTCCAAGGTTCATTTCTCGTGTCGACTTTCAACTTCTATTTACCTTTTCTTGACAAGGGTTTTAAAATCTGAAATGCAGTCCAAGCTTAATGACAATGTACTGAAGTGGGTTAATGTTTCAAATGGACTCATAAACCTAGAATTCCTTATCGTTGAACTGCACTACAGGCTTCTCAAAATTACTGCCTTTGGTCTTCATTTTCATCCAGCTTCCCACCTTCTTTTTCCTTCCGAGTCTTTTGTTTCTTAACTTTTATAACTTTCATCATCTTCAGCACACTTCTCTGTTCTAAACCCGTCGCAAGTCTTGTCTCTCAACTAAACATCTAGCCAGCATGGATCTCGACAGCGATTCACGCTATAAAGATATCGACTCTCAAAGCACTAGCGACATCACAGACTTCCAACCCATCAAGCGACGCAGTTCCTACCTCCCTTCCATCCTCCTCGGCTGTATAGCCAGCTTCGCATTCGCCGCCTTCCTCATCACCGTTGTGCGCTGGCCATGGTTTAAAGGCGATTCCGGCTACTACGCATAAACAGACTGTGGAAAGACACCCGAGGAAGCGCGATCTAGAGGATGTAGCTACTATCCCATAGGTCGCTTTTGGGCGCCTCCCGATTGTTCGTTTCCCGAAGGCAACGACAACTATCATCCCTTCTGCGACCGGGAATGGTTCGTCGGCACGAACTTGACGATTCCTGCCGACATTTCCCGGTTAGAATCAGGTGATTCCCGTCAGGCTTTTACTCATTATTGGCATGATGAGCATTGCACGTTGGTGCTACAGAAGTTGTCATTGGCGGTTGCGCTGAATAAAACGATGGTTCCGGGATTGGTGGGAAGTATTCATCATGTTAATCATTGTGCGATGACGATTACGAAAACGATCAAGAATGCGTATAATGAGACTTTCCTTGCGAATGATATGTCGATAACGGAGAGTACTTTGGGTTTCATGCCTTGTGTACCACTTAAGTAGGTTTCATATTCCCTTTGAACCAAAATCTATTGTACTAATAGCATACAGGAGCCTTGTGGACAATCCAAGATACGAAAATTAGTTCCTTCGTTTCTATGGAAGAAGGGACTAGAGGCTGTAACAGCATTTGGCAAGTGAAATCTCTGGAGATCTATCTGTACCTACAGATTACAGCAGCATAATGAATAAATTGAAGCTCAAAATTTGACCTACTTCGACTTCATTCCGCCGCATTGCCATAGATATGAACGATATTTTCCATGAGAAAAACAAAGTATTTTTTAGCAGTTTGAAAATCTTTCCAGTATCGTAAATTCACACGTTTGTTCATAGTGAGGTTCGGTCGTTAGATTCTCGATTAGACATCAAAATCGCTGTTCTCGCGGAAGTGCAGGGTTAACCCCTGCCTCTCTCATAGTCCAGGGGGCTACGAGCACACATAGCATTCTATTGCTTGATGTGAAAGACTTACTATGATGATAAGAACGTCGATTTACTGATAACAGACATTTGCCCCTCCAAAATATACGCTTAGAGTGTACTGTATGTTGCTGCTGTAATGCGGGGTCAGAAGTGGGCCCCTGAATTCGTCACAACTTGCCGTTAGCGAACAATTGCGGGTCGCCTTTCTTGCTAGGATATGCATTAGGTCTCAGGAAGAGATTTTGAACTATTGTGAGAGTCAAAATTGCGAAATTTTCGTGTCTTATATTGATTTCAGATTTCGCGGCTAATGTACTCGTGATTCAGCGGATTATCGATTCTCTCTAATATTTTCCATAACTTAACAATATCCTGTGATCTTCATCAGATACTACCAGCTCACTTCATCTATCCATTTTGTCGTTTCACTTCACAATATCCACGGCAAATGTTCGAACTCTCAAAAGATTAATAATGATACTCCCAGAAGACCTCAAAAAGAGCGGCAGCTCCTCAATATACACCTCCCGTCTTACTTCTACCATCTATCTTCTCCTTCCCTACACATGGTGGCAACTCGATGACTTGTGTAAGTTATAGAATTCCCACCTGCTCCCGGTGAACAACTACTAGCAAGTAATAGTCATTGGACAAGCCCGCACCGCTGGCCTCTCAACCCACTTCAAATTAGCGCAAATCGATTCCGAAGAATTACACACGGATACCAAATTCGTACGTTTTGCATTCGCTTGGTTACTACTACTATGGCAGATATCAAATATCCATATCCACAAGATGACTCTCATAGTCGTGAATCGATAGCTTGAACTTTGTGATCCAGCATTCTCCCTCTAGTAAGAACTATACCAGCGAGCGAATAAGGCACGTGCCTTTCTAACAAAGATAAATACAAAAAATGGTATAATTTGAGAGAACCCTCTTTTCACGTTCCTAGTCTTTATAAGTTTATTATCACAGACTTCATCTGAGACCTATCCCGTCCTTCCCTGGTTTCTGTACATCTAGATATGTTATATTGTGGCTGGCGGGTATGAAATGTATTTGATATTTTATACCCAGTGCGCTGGAGCCAATCCTATAGTTTATGAGATTTCAATAAGACGCCGACTGTAAAAAATCAGAGAATCGAGGTGCGAACAGTAGTGATAATATTCTCATAGATCCTCAGGTATATTTTTGTACTCTCTACACTCCAACAATATGCTATGCAAAAGAAAGATTCCCATTCCAACCATAAACACCGAATCCATACCCCAACGCCAACAGCAATATAAAATCCCAAATCCCAAATCCTATACACAGGTATCCAAGTCCCCCTAGAACAACCCATCACAAATACCAATATCCCACATCCGGCGCATCCCATTTCGCTTCCACGTTACACGAATTATCCAATCTATAGCAGACCTTCTGCATCGCACAATTCGGACACTTAACTTTCCATTTCCAGGCGTCTGAATCATACATCGCATGTATGTCGTTGAGATGTGTAAACGTGTGGCCTTTGGGACATGATTTTTTATTTTGCGTTTGCATCTTACCTGGAGAGGCAACTGCAGTAGGTTGTGAGGTGACAGTCGTTAATAGATCGTAAGCGATTGCTGGATTATTTTTGCATAGGGTTGAAAACTCTCCTCGATCATTTAGTTCTCTCAAATGCTTTCCTGCAGTTTCGAGGGCGATTGATGACAGGGAGGTGTCGCTTTCTGGGAGCTCCTCGTATATAAGTTCCAGACTGGCTGAGAAGGAAGGCGTGTTCCAATCAGTCACTACTGCTGCTTCGTACTTTTTCTTTGCGAGGTTCTTGAGAGCTTGAATGTCGTATTTGTCGCCAATGATATAGACCATAGTATTGACTACCAAACGTCCGTAACCCTCCTCCCCGACTTCTCCACTCAGCTCAGAGGTTTCGTCATAGTCTTGAAGGTACAAGAAATTGATCATTCTCGCGACAGTCTCAGGATCATCATCCTCTAAATCGAGAACGCCGGTGACAGACTCCTATATCAATCTCAGTAATGATTCGGGGATATATGTATTTCACAACGCTTAGTTGAGTTTTTCAAATTAATTGAAGAGACAAGAACTAACCATGAAGCCTCCATTTGCTGCAGCTTGTATTGGTTTTGACTGCGTGCAAACGACGATTCGATGGACAGGGAATATTCGAGAGTGACATTTTATGATGAAATCACTGTATTCGTTTGCACCCATCATTCTAATACTAGATCAGCAAAATCATCCTAAAACAGAGTTTCGATCCATACTTGGCCCATAGGGCTTTCGTCGTATCGACCGATTCATTGTCACTGGTTCTTGCGGGAGACATCTGCGTGACTGGGGATCAGAGCTAATATTTGTATTTTTTCTTTTCCCATGTATGAAGTGACCAGTCCAACAAACTTTTGATACAGAACGACGTTTTTGAGAAGAGCGAGCCATGGAGATATGTGGTTGTTTGTTCTAGGAAATATAAGGTGATTATGAATAGTTTGTAGATCATTCAATGCAAGACAGGGGCAGTGCTCCCCATGGAGAAGTAACTATAGCGTCATGCGCCCTAAATTCACCGCTCCAATGATTATTCCCCATTCCGTAATAGAAATCAAACAAGTAACACAAATTTAGTCAACATTTGTCTCCTTGAGCTTGGTATTTATAAAAAAAATTGGCGAATGTAGCAGGCTATATTGTAAAACGAGATATTTGCATTCTTAACCAATCAATAAACTCCAGTTGCCCTACCTATGATATACAAACCGAACGCCTAATACCTAGTTATCCATCAGTGGGGTGCACGGACTTCTGAGAGTTGCCCCCAAAGTAATAACAAATCATGATTTATCCAAATCTCATCCGACTCCCGTAAAAAACAAACATATAGTCTGATTGCTTGATCTGTAACGGGCATTGTTTGCAGGTCTCAGAATCTCTGAGATAATGCTTTAGAACTATTATCGAATTAAAGTTTCTCGTAATCTCACGAGTCCATGTACCCACTGCTGATCCAATCACTCAATTCCAAAACCATCCAGACTTTGTATTCTTTTTGGCTCGCGACCTGATTTCCTGATCATCAGTCTCCACTCTCTGCTGAGATTGAGAACCCTCCAAGTCAAAATCAGACCTATCAGTATTGGATTGCCGGGTCCCTGCTTTATCAACTGTATGACTAGACGTTGTTTCTGTTTCACTTCCGTCATCAAATCTCTTCCATACACGGATCGTCGTTTCTACACTTCCATCTTCATTGGTAAAATGCTCAACGGTTGAGCTTGAAGACACTTCTCGTTTTGGTCTGTTGGGTTCTGAAAGTGATTTTCCACTTATCATGTCGGCTTCTTGCGGACCTGAAGAACTCGATCGACGAGATTCTTCGAATGGTACACTTTTGCCTTGCATAATTTTTTCGACTGCTGTAAGGGTGGACTCAAGCGTGGTGAAGAATTGATCAGGCGTCGTAGATGCATCTCGAAGAAAACTCTCGTACATTTGTTCCTCGGTCTCGGCATTATTCTTGTACCCTTTATTCTGAGAGACAAATGAAGCTTCACCTCGACTGTTATTGCCAAGTTCTTCAGATGAGGGAGACTCTTTTGAAGTTTTCGTCAACTCCGAGCTAGGTAGATGAAGTATGCCTAACCTTTGAAGTCGCTCAATCCAATCCAATCCGCTTTCCACTGTCGAACTGATACTTTCGGGTCTTTCAGTAGTGGTTCTCTCAATGCGGCCGACTGGAACCTCTGTATCGCGACTCTTTCCCTGGCTGATAAGAAGAAGGTCTTCAAATGCTTCGCAGTAAGGAAAGTCGTCCCGGAGAGTGGCCCCACGAGGCCTATCATACGTTCTTGTACCTCTGATTTGCGCGTCGTAGAACTGTTGATGCGCATAGATAGATTGACCAAAAGATAAAGTCAGCGGCGAATATGGCGATCTAAAAAGATATGGCAATAGTGAGTGATCATCAGGATCGGCTTTGTATAACATCACCGCAGCAAGAGAGCTCATGGTATGCCTAAGGTTGCCAGAGAAAGGATTGGTTAAGGGAGACTGCAAAGGTGAATATAGCGGAATATCTGCAGTTCCGAAAACATTTGTCCACTGGTCATGTAAGAAGTGAACAAAATCTACGTCGCCGTGTGTAGTTTGTGACTTCTTCGCATGTGTTTGGGCTTCTTCGCCCTCCGATATTGTTGTATTCCCACTTCTTGCTTCTTCGGCTTCCTTCAATTCCCTCCGCCTCGCTTGTAGTGCATCTCTTCTTTTCAAATCCTCATCGAATATGGACCATTGTGAACCACTCTGTGGCTTTGAAAAAGCTGATGGCAGACCGATGAATCCTTGTAGAACTGCACCTATCTGTTCATCGGCGAAGTGCCTGAAACGAATGAAAGGGTTATCGGAATCCGATTGATTGTCTTTCGAGTTTTTGTCAACATCGCCTGGGTTTGATGATTTTGACATTGTGGTTTGGACGACGTTGATACTATTGATGTGCGTGATGTAGCGCAACAGCTATTGTAAGATGTATTGGTGGTATCATCAACTTTGGAATGGTTGAGAGTTGATGGCTTGTTGATAAGATAGTAGTGGGGAGATAATGAGATTGTCCAGATTGTGAGGTTATCATGGCATTTGTTGACCATTTTTGCGGGGTCTAGGAATTATTAATAAAGTTAGCGCCTGAAAGAGGAAGGCACGGCTCGTGTGTAGGCACGTACGTAGAGGCATGGCTTTTCCCGAATGGTTCGTCCTTAGCTAGCCGTAGACCTAACCTTAGCTGTTCAACCAATAACTTCTTTTCATTTCTTCATTTCAATCTTCACTTCACTTCACTTCACTTCACTTCACTCCGTACAGACAATGATAGCATTCATTACCTAATCTAGGTACCTGGGCAGATCAACCAACAAACACATTGATTTCATTTCATTCTTCACTCACAGAGCTGTATCATATTATGTCATCCCTACGTAATCATATGCCTCGGCTTGCCACTTATTATTCTATATGAATTTAAACATCAACCAATCATTTCATTCCATTATCTCTTCTTTTTCTCTCCTCTCTTCTTCTAACCTTCACCGCATACAAGCACCTCCAACCACCACAACCACCACTCACCCACTCAACCACCACAACCACTCAACCACTCACCTACCGCAACCACTCCCTGCTACACAACTTGTCTTCCTGCGTACACTACTACACTTATCTAATAACCATCGACCAATAAATGCATTTGCCCTTCCTTCTCTTCCAATTCCTTCACCGCACATAAGCCACTTCGAGCTCCAAAACCCTTTGGAACTCAGTTTGACTGGTTCTGATAAAAAGAACCATAGGGAGCTCGCCACGAAAACTCCATAAAGTCGAGAAAAGTATTGACAACACAGCATTTCAATCTCTTTTATTACCATCTCACATATTCATACGAGTAAAAAAGCCCATGTAATGCAGCAATTGCTTCTTTCTACCTACTTCTCCCAATACTGGTAATACTTGCGATTTGAAATTAAGAACAACAATGCCTTGTCTATGTCTTTTCCAATCCTGACTGAGAGATTGAGATTGAGATAGAAAAGTATCCACCCACCACCCATACACAAACCATGGCAACCACTGGAACACCGTTAATTGTGCGAGATGCATCAACCCCTCACATGCGACCTCACACCACTTCAAAATCCTCCTCAAATCCCCACAACTCAAACTCAAACTCAAACTCGGGCTTCAACCAAAATGTTTCTCTAAATTCGAATTCGAATACCGATAAAAATAACAACAGACGTCATTCGCTCCCACTTCATTTCCTCCCACCAAGTTTATGGACATCTAATACTTCAACTGCCAGTCTTGTTGAATCCGAAGAAGCTGCCCGTGGGGAACATATCCTAGACGAGGCTAAGGTTGCAAATCGTCTTGCAGCTCTTCGTTCTCTCAACGGCGCGAATCGAGCCGATCATCGTTATGCGAAATCCACTGGAGAGACATTTAATCAACCGGTGATTGTGCGGACCTACTCAGGAGCTATTCGACCTCGCTCTCAACAAAGAGATCCTATTGCAGCCAAGAAGCAGAATGGAACAGCGGGCATAGCAGCAAACAAAATGGATATAAAACTTCCGCCAGTGGAAGCTTTCAGCTTCAAGGGGATTATGGATGAAATAAAACATGGCGTTAGTGATGATTTACAGAGGATCGCGGAAATATGTGCAAGGAGCAAGTACAGTTTGGCAAATCAGCATGAGTTCCATCATCCACCTCATGGATCTGGAGATCGCATACCACAAATCGGTATTGTCTCCGCGGCAGATCTAGGTGTACCGACATTACAGGCCGCTGAACCGGATGAAGTTTCTCCGAGACAACTAGCCAGAAGCTCAAGAGGAAGTCGAAGGGGGAAATCTGCCGCTTATGGTACACTAGAGACCATCATATCATCCTCAAGATCTTCTGATGAGGACAAATCCAGAAAAAAGCCTGCCGCTGTTTTGGAAGATGAGGTTCGTGGAAGAGCAACAAGTAAGGAGATTGAAGTATCACCTCCAAGTCCCGATGTTGTAATAGACGCTGCAGTCCCAGAAGCTATCTCTGAAAGGAGCCCTACCCCCAAGCACGCTAGGCCAAGATCTTCCACATTCGCATCCATGATTATAGACAATGCACAAAACTTCAGACAGGAACATAGACCACAAGTTTCATCTCCTACCTTCCTTTTAAGCGAACCTGCTCGACCTCAAACCTCTGGTGCGGACCTTGAACATATGCCTGCCCTTGATGAACTTACTCCTGATCGGCCTTCCACTTTCCATGAGTTGACATTACCAAAGCCTACTCTAATACGCAATGAGTCAATAGCTTCCACACTAAGGCCTGAGACCTCGCCGAGATCGTCCATACTTGGTAGTTTGAGTTCATGGCTACCTTGGAGTAAACCACCTAGTCCAGTGCGAGCCTTTCAAGGCAGGGCGAGAAGTGGATCGCATGCAGAAGGAAGTTTGAGAAACTTGTTGAGGTCTACAGAAATCGCTAGAAAGGGCAAGAATGTTGATAGCATTCCTTGAATGGGACCATGACATTTTGAAAAGATCCTAGCGATTTGTTTGCCTTTCAGTGCGATGTATAATTAGCCAAAGAAGAGGGATTCGACCAAAGATGTAGGAAAATTCTAGCCTATCAATGTGCATCGAAAGTATTCCGAGCTTCGCGCATAATCTGCTACCACTGGTATAATATGTCTCAATCTCCCCATGAATTTTGGTTTGAGGTCGTGTGCGTGTCGCAAAACATACCGAGAAAATTTCAAATCGCCCAACTACGAATCAGATTCATCTCTTCAATTTCGGACAATGACTAATAAGGTGGACCGGCTAGGGGAATTGTATGTAAATATTATTAACAAATATTGTACGTTACATAACCGGATCATATTGACATAAACCGCAGGATTCTCAAGGAAGGGGACAAGTACTCAGATCTTATCATAATATTCCAAGGAGTAGCATTTCGCGTGCACAGAAATATCATTTGCGTACAATCCGAATTCTTCACTACTATGGTGGATAGCGATTGGGAAGTAAGTTATCACTTCTCTACTTCAAAATGTAGCTTTTATAGAGTAGACACTAATTGTGGTTAGGATGGTACTGCTTGTGAGATACTGCTCGAATCTGATGAGACTGATCTCGATGTCTTTCAAAGAATGGTCCGATTTTTCTATCACCGCTCTCTTGATGATGAACATGACCTCGTCACTCTTACCAAACTTTACGTTATGGGGGGGAAATGGAACATTCCTTTCCTGAAGGAGAACGCTGCTTCCAAGGTTGAAGTCCTTCTAGACACATATTCACGGCACGGTTATTCTTCTACTGATGCAGTCTTCGAAATGCTGAAGCTCGCTTATGCATGTCTTCCACAATTGGATACTGATCTCAAAGTTGTCATCTTGCATCACGTTCTCAAGCATGAAAGTTTGGAGGCCTTGATGAACGATCGTGACTTCAGAGCTTTTGTTGTGCGGAATGTAACCATAGCAATAGACCTCTTAGAAGCCCAGCTGTATACTCACAGAAAGGCTCTCTATATTGAGAAAAGGTCCGAAGATCAATAAATAAGCTCAAGGGCCAACGCGTCCTTGGCTCCACACATATGAATTACAATTTTATCGTCTACCTAATACAATCCTTCAACGCTAGATGCTCTTGGTGTTATTATACCTGCGCCCTGTAATCTCTACATCATTATATATTTGTTCGTTGATTGCCCTCGTCTACGAAATTCACGTAAGACTATGAGTTGCATGTACAATCACAGTTTCTCATCCTGATCGCATTTACAAATACGAGTAACTATCTCTCTGTGTAGATTTTTATATCACATTCAAATTGAAGAAAATGCCTATTTACTGCAAAGCCAAAACACATTCACACCCTTCGACCTTCTTTACAAGTATTTCTTATTAACTCTTCTCAGCAAGCTTCTCTATAAAAGGGTACTCTCCATCTCAAATCTTGACCATTACAAAGTACTCAAAACCGTGAGATAAATTACATCTACACTTACCACACCACCAAAAATGACATCAAAAACATCGGGAGCCCTGGAAGACATGTAAGTCCTTCTTTATGGATACTCCTAACCCAGTCGAGTCAAAATCATTGCGATATTTGTTTTCGAGAGAAATAAGAAGAATTCCTAATCACTTCTCAGGGCCTATAAACAAAGCAATAAACATGAACCCCCAGATTTCACCATAAAATGTAAAGGACATTCATTTCTCGTCCATAAAGATGTTTTTGCCCCTCAGTCTAAACCATTGGGTGCGGCGATGGACACTGAAAAATTCTTGGTAAGCTTCACTCTGCTAGTTCTGGTCTTCTTTTACCATTACTATAGTATTCAAATGATGTAAAAGTACCTAAATTTTGCTGATCTATCTTCGATTATAGGAAGGAACAAAAAGAGAAATGATACTGAGCGACGAAAACGACGACCCGGAAATCGTAGCATTAATGGTCCAGTTTCTTTACAGTGGAGAGTACACTATTTCTTTTCCCTCTAATACTTCCTCCTCGGCACGCTCCTCATCAGACGAAGCGATTAGATGCATTCGCCATGTAGCGCTGCACATCTTCTCTGATCTCTGGTACATCCCCTCTTTACAAGTCTTCACTCTCTTGAATCTTCAAACCACCCTTTCCCATCTTCCTTTATCATATTTTGCATCGGTATTGCGATATATCTATGAAGAAACACCGGGATCATACACGCGTGTTAGACAGGTAGCTGTAAAGGCTTTGATGGAAAGATTCACAGTTGGAGAAATCATGAAGGTTAAGGAGTTGAGAGAGCTGTTGAGTGCGGATGGAGAATGCGCGGTGGATTTGTTGGTTTGGGGAGAGGAGAGGAGAGTCAAGAGGGAGAGGAGAGTGGGGAGAGATTGGGAGCAGAGTGCGGTTAGGGGAAGAAGGGTGTGTGAGGAGAGTATGGGAATGAAGGGGGATATATTGGGGGAGACCACAGGATGGGCTGATAATACTGGTGCGAGGTTCTGAGAGGGGTTGGTGGATGGTGGATGGTGTTTTGTGGTATGGTTGATAGGGAGGGAGTGAGGGGTTGTTTTGGATGGTCTAGATTGGAGGGGTGAGATGTAAGCGATGACGAATAACGCTGATGTTTAACGACTATAAACCTGATGAGATCCTGCCAGAAAATTGTGAGCCTAAAAAAATCAAGACTCGAGAAATAGTATATTTTCAACTTAGTATTTAATAGCCCCTCGTAGCAAATCCAATCGTTATCCCTTAATTGCCACTTCCTCCAACTTCAATAATCTCAAGAGCCTCAACCACCCCCAAACCGACCATATACATACTCTTAACCGGCCAGCATGACTCACGTGCATGATATCATTCGTACCCTTTGCCGAAAATCTCCACTCTCACACCCAAGGCAGAATCCTTCTCCCCACATCTCACTCTCCACAGCATTCTTCACAGCATCTTTTCCGGCTTCCCGCATCACCCAATCCTCTGTACACAGATATATCCTAAGATTCGCCATTTCCGCGCAGAAATTCATATGCAGCTGCAGTGAAAAAAGCTGCGAAAGGAAGTACAAAAATGAGGCTGAGATGGTCATACCGGTCACCAACTGTACGTTTGAGGCAAGCAAGTGGAGCGCAGATGTAATCCCTGTTCTGCTATCCCCGCGCCGCTTCACCGAGTTTGTTGAAATAAGTCACTCCATGCTTGTCGCTTGCATTTGATTATGATGATACATAAGTATGTTATCATTTGAGGGCCCCCGCAGGCCTCTTTTACTTTACCAATCTTATCGGTCTTTCGGGCTTCTTATCACTACATTGGTGCTTTGAGGGAGCTATGTACCTAGGCAGGTAGCGTAGCTTATTAATATTTGCTTGGAAATCCGGAGTAGACAGATAGATGAACAGACGAAAATGGGTTAAGTATTTCATGCACGGATTAGGCAAAACCGATCAAAAGTGGCGCGTTATACGTAGATAGGATAATCCGCATCCAGTAATCAATCCACAACATATCATTTTCTCGCCATTAACTCGAGACCGCTGGCGACCGCTCAGCCTTGACTCATCGACACGATACAGGGTCATCAGCAGCGAATTTTCTTTCGTGATGATAGGAGGAGCGGATTCCTTGAGGAGTGGACTTGCAGCAGCGGTGCAACATTGTTAGCCTCGTTATGCATATTGTTTTCGCTTGATTGGATTGTCTGCCTATCTGACCTGCATTTTGGTGCTCTGGGGCTAACGCTATGCGACCTATGGTAGGCGGATCTAGAGGTAGGTATTGGACGAGGAAATGGATATAAGTCGTGGAAGCCAGCTTCTGGTGAATGAATTTAATTTATTATTCTTATTTCTTGGGGTTTATTATATGTTTTGCATTGGGATTGATTGAGTGAATTATAAATCAGCTGGAAGATTGAATTGAATCGAGCATATGTTGAATTTGCATTTCGATTGAATACTCATTATCGCGAAATTTATATATTGAATCGCGGGGTACAATCGGTCTGCTTTTGCATTACAACAGACTACCTTAAGTGTAAGCGAAAACTACTCACTCATACCATCATATCTCTATACTCGACTGCTTTTCTACAAGTCAAGAAAGAGAAGGAATCTCACATTCACAACTCCGAAGATGCCGCCAGAATCAAGAAATACGTGCATCTCTTGCACCAACACAACAAAAGATTGCCAGAATGTGTTAATGCAAGTCATACTTGCTCTTGAGAATGCATCGGAGGTTTATCGAAAATTGGTACCTTTTGTGAGGAAATCCCATGCGAGACATGCATTGGGACATGATATGTATGTGGTAGAGGGACAGTTGAGGAGAGCGTTACAGAGACTGTATAAGGTTGATATTGCGGAGGATGAGGGGAGAGAAATATTGAGTAAGTTGGTGGGGGAAAATAGGAGTGAGTGGTTGGGAAATCTACCTCTTTTGGGAGTGATTAAGGATGAGAAGACAAAGAAGAGTGGTGAAATGGGGGGGAGAGTGAAGGGAGAGAGCGGAATGAATTTTCCAATTTTGAAACTCGATGCTGGATTTTCTGATGTCAAGGTTCCGTTCATGGATTCGGCGGTCGATGTCAGGAGTCCAGGGTTTCTTGCGGAGGTTCTCTTGGATGATGATGTTATGGCTATTCCGGAAGAGGACTGTGAGCAAAAGGAGATTAATATAGAAGGGTGTATGGAACTAACACCTGTGCCGACTCATCTCACTCCTGAAATTCCTTACCTGCTTAAAGCTATTCGTCTATGGTTAGAAGAATTTTTCGAATCAAAAGATGATTCTATAGCTATTCCATCATCAATGGTATGTCAGCTTTCTGAGTTCGAGACAGCCTTTGAACTGGAGAGATTACCAACAACAAGTTGTATCTGGAATTCCGATTATCAAAGACAACGGAAAGAGGTATGGACAATCACATCATTCTGGGGACCTAATCAACGATCGAAATGTATATGTGTACCTGAGGAACCCGATGAGAATATTTTGACACATTCGAATGATTCTCATTGTCCGAAGAACATGCCTCCAGATTTGGATTCGCCATCAAGAAATTATGAATGGGATTACAGGACCCATCGATGGAATACTCGTCGGGGGCCTAGTTGCAGAAAAGGTGGGCCAGCACCACCTCCTGAATACTCTAGGCAAGACGATAGTGCATCTGATGCCGGATCAGATTCAGATTCAGATTCGGACGAACAGATTGCCGAGAGGGTTGAAAGAAGTAAAAGGGAAAGAGCGGAAGAAGGAGAAAAGGCCTGGGAAGAAATCATGGGTATGACCGGTTTGAGGAAAGTAAAAGAGCATGTGAGGAAACTCAAGGCCAAAGTTGAGAGTTCGATTCGGCAGAATATTGATCTGGGAGAAGAGAGATTTGGCGCAGTTTTCATGGGCAATTCGGGGACTGGAAAAACGACCATGGCTAGGATTTATACTAGATATCTGTATTCGATGGGAATCATCAAGAGAGATGATATTCTCATGACAACAGGTACATATCTTTCAGATGGAGGTATTGAAAGAACGAAACGATACGTTGATAAAATAGCTGATGGCGGTGTGATGTTCATCGACGATGCAATGACTTTAGACGATTATAGCAATGGAGGCAAGATTCTCGATTTTCTGTTCCAGGAAATCGATCAGAAGAAAGGATCTGCGGTTTTTATTCTGGCGGGACACGAAAAAGGAATGCGTAAACTGTTAGGTCATGGAACAAAGAGTGTTGCCAGTCTTCTTCCCAATGTTCTCACATTCGATGATTTCACAGAGCCTGAATTACTTGAGATTCTCAATTCGTGTATCAAGAAGAAATTTGACGGAAAGATGGAGGTTGAGGGTGGTAATGATGGGCTCTATATGCGGATTGCGGCGAGGAGAGTTAGTAGAACGAGAGGGGGCTCTCAGTTTGGTAATGCTAGAGCTGTGGAAAATCTTGTCGCGCAGATCTGGGAGAGGCAGTCTGCTAGATTGTCTAAGATTCGACAGGAGAGAGCTGCTAAGGCTGCGGAAGATGAAGCTGCAAAGGCGAAAGAAAGCGACGAGAAAACGGGAGAAGAGAAGTCAGAGGAAGTGAAGCCGACCGAAGAGAGTACTACTGGCGAACAGACCGCCGGAAACAAGCCGCAAGATGAATCTCCGATAGAAACAAATTCTGAGACAGAACAAAAATCTGACACTGAAGAGAAGGCAGCTCAGGAAGCAAGTCAGGGAGACAAAATAGAAGCAGATACTGATCCAAACGTCGTTGTTGCGAAGGAACTCGCCGATGTACGGAAAGACGATAAAGTTCCCAAGAGTGAGGAGACAGAGGAAGAAACTGGGAAATCGCTACGCGAGAGATATACCAAAGCGGAGGTATTGAAGATCCCAGCCAGCAATAATCTTGGCAGCGAAATGAAATTGAAAGAAGAGCCTATCATCGTGGTAGTTCCAGAACCAACGAAAGCGCCGAAGTCCTTAGATGCAAATTTCATAGAAGAGGTCAAACCAGAAGAACCAAAACCGGATGAAGATACTTCTTTGTCCACGAAAGACGAAGTAGTTTTAGATGAGCAGGCATCCTCGAATGGAATATCCCCAACGGACATACAAGTCGACAAACAATTAGAGACAAAGTATGAAGACTCCTCGAAAGTCGAAAATAGTACTGAGAATAAAGCTGAGGAGAACGAGATCCCCAAAGAGGAAAAGTTGGCTGATGAAGCACAAGAGTCGACCGACAAAGATTCAGATTCAGGATCAGACACAGAAGAAACCCCAGCAATTGATCCAGAAGACCTTTTATTTACAAAAGAAGATATCCTTGGCCCAGATCCTTCTTCTGCAATTCTAAACAGCGAGGCTTGGCAAGAACTTCAAAAGCTTATTGGGCTGGAAAAGGTTAAGACTTCTCTACTTACACTCCTCGAGCTCGTCAAATCAAATTATCAGCGAGAGCTCGAAGAGAAACCTCTGCATCAATTTACCCTAAATCGCTTATTCTTGGGCCCAGCTGGAACTGGAAAAACAGTGGTTGCGAAGTTGTATGCTAAGATTCTTGGTGAAATTGGTGTTCTCTCGAAGGGCGAAGTCATTTTCCGTAACCCAAGTGATTTGATTGGACAATATATTGGAGATTCTGAAGCCAATACCAAAGCTGCGCTTAATGCCGCACGAGGCAATGTGTTGGTCATCGATGAAGCATACATGATGTACAGTGGGAACTCCGACGGTACTGGAAATGAGAGCGACTCATACAGACAAGGAGTCATTGATACGTTAGTTGCAGAAGTGCAAGGAAATCCTGGCGATGATCTATGCGTTCTCTTGCTGGGATATAAGGAGCCGATGCTGGAGATGCTTAATCACTCGAATCCTGGACTGAGTCGACGATTCCCTATCGAAAGTGCATTTTGCTTCGAAAACTTTTCGATTGATGAACTTGAGAAAATCCTCCGCTCGAAATTAGATTTCCATGTTCTTGAAGCTACAGAAGAAGCCATCAAGGTTGCTATGGATGTACTTCAGAAAGCCCGAACGAGATTAAACTTTGGTAATGGTGGAGAAGTGGAGAATTTAATTGCAACTGCGAGAACTAATTACCAACTGAGAACGTCGAAGATTCCAGTGGGAGAAAGATCCGGCATATGGGTATTCCAACCGGAGGACTTTGATCCTGAATACGATAGAGGCAGGTCAGCGAATGAGAACCTTCAAAAACTCTTTGCCGATGTCATTGGGTGTGAGAATATAGTTAAACAGTTGGGACAATACCAGAACGTGTGTAAAGCCATGAAATCCAGAAACATAGATCCAAGACAGTACATTCCGACAAATTTCGTCTTTAAAGGACCACCAGGTAAGGACAGATATGCGTTTCGTCATCTCATGGAATAACGGTACTAACAACTGTATTCTAGGAACTGGCAAAACAACCACAGCACGAAAGTTCGCAAAAGTATATTATGACATGGGATTTCTTTCCGACGAAACAGTCATCGAGTGCTCGGCCAGTGACCTTATTGGCAAATATATTGGACATTCAGGACCAAAAACAGCCAAAGTTCTAGAGAAGGCTCTAGGAAAAGTTTTATTTATCGACGAAGCGTATCGTCTAGCACCTCATACCGAAAGCCACAGTTTCACATCCGAAGTCGTCTCAGAGCTCGTTGATCTCCTCACAAAACCCAAGTTTCACGGAAACTTGATCGTCATCCTCGCTGGTTACGAGGATGAAATCAACTCCCTATTATCAGCGAATCCAGGCCTCGCATCACGATTCCCAGATGAAATGAACTTCCCAGCTTTGACGCCTCTACATTGTTTGCAGATTTTGGAAATCAAATTAGGGCTTGCGGGGATTACTATTCCGATACTAAAGCAAACTGAACAGAGAGAATACGAACAATTATTGCGAGTGATGACGTTTCTCACAGCAACGCATAGCTGGGGTAATGCTAGAGATGTGGAGACATTAGCAAAGGCGATTTGCAGAACCGTGTTTTTGGAGATGGCGGCAGAAGGAGAGTTGATTTGTACAGCAGAGAATGCGACGATGGCGATAGAAGTCATGTTGCATGAGAGAAGACAGAGAGCGTATACGGCATTGCCGCCACCTAGATACGAATAAAAATGGGAACTGGGAATGGGGGAGTAGGGGAACGGGAAAATCGATTCTTGGGGAGAATGAATCTACGGATTCGATTTTTAGTGACAGATAGATAACTGATGAATTTAATGAATATGACTTTAACAATAATTGTCTTAAACGATGGACTCATGGAATGTCTTGATTGCTTTATTTGGAAATTCGCGGACACAAAAAATTCGAGTAACCCTTTGATTAATTGGTAGAACTCAAATGGCGAAATAAATTTTTATGAATTGAAATCATTCAATAGAATCGGTCGGTCGGATTGCAATAGGGATTGATTTGTTGCAAACAACTGTAGTTTGGTACCAACATGATTGTATTTTATATTGGCAACAGTTGGATGTGGAGAAGTGTACGTTCTACACCGTTTAGAAAAAGGAGACTTGCCCTCTCCTCAAACCTTAGGCCAAACATTGTTTCCAACGACATCTTAATGACTTGATACCTCTAGTAGCTTTTCAGTTATTCGTTTTCGAAAATTGTTGCCACTTATCATCCAATATGGGTGTCATAGCTATCATCGCAACTATCCTTGAAGAAAACAATATTATGGTAGCATTTCTTGCTTTGCTAGCGGTAAAACTCCCTGGAATCTGACAAATCGCAACAGCTAATATATTAAAGTATCCCATATCAAGTGCTGTCTACAATATCTACTTCCACCTTCTCGCGAAATTCCCAGGTCGTAAGCTGTGGACTGCTTCGCGACTCCCCTTCATATACTACCTTCTTACAGGGCAGCTCGTGAACAAAGTCAAAGAATTCCACAACACCTATGGAGAATTCTACCGTCTCGTACCAGGTGAAGTATCGTTCGCCAGCGAGGAAGCCCGGAACGACATATACACCTTCCGTTGCGGACATAAGCCTGCTTTGAGAGACAAGGTTTGGTATGTTGGTTAGAAAATACCATACATAAGGATATTTGACACCCATAGCTAATTATCTCAGCACCGAATAATCAAGCCGATAACCTCATTACAACGACTGACTTCAAGTTCCACGCTCGTGTTCGAGGATTGATGAGCAGTTCTTTCACCGATGAAGCGCTCCGTACACAGTATCGATTAATCGAATCTCATGCTGACATACTAATCTCCAAGATCAGAGAAGCTGCCGAGAAACCTGAGAATTTGAACAGAGGTGCTCGAATCATTGTTACAGACTGGTCGAATTTTTTCATAATCGGCGTCATCGGAGATTTGGCATTTGAAGCACCATTTGACTGTCTCGAGAAAGGAGAATACCATCATTAGGTACGCAAACTGTTCAGTTATCTCAAGGGAATGTCAATTGTCGCCGCTCCTCGATTCTACCCCGCAATGGAATTTCTGTTTCAGAAATTGATTCCGAAAAGGATCATGGAGGAACGGAGACAGCATATCGCGTATGCCGAAAAGATGATCAGTCGTCGCTTAGATACGAAAAGCGATCGTCCGAATTTCATGACTCTTTTCATGAGAGACAATATCAATTTTGAAAATGTGTCCCGCGAGGTGATTTTATCGACCTCTTATTTTATTATCGTGGGTGGTTCTGAAACTTCAGCAACAGTGATAACTGGTATATTTAACCACCTCACTAAAAAGAATAATAAGCGAATCCTTGACAGACTTTGTAATGACATCAGAACAAAGTTCGAGGAAGAGAAGGACATTACTTTGGATGCAACCCGAAGCACACCTATCACTTATTTGGAAGCTGCGATGAATGAGGGCTTGAGAAAATGCAATCCAATTCCTAGTGGACTGCCACGTGTAGTCCCCGAAGGTGGGGATGATTATTGTGGGATATTCCTCCCGGCTGGTGTGAGTACTCAGAATCCATATGAACATTGACTAACTCGATTGACTTTCCAGCAGAAAAGATTAGCAGTTCGGACATACGCGACCAATCGATCCAAAAAGATATTTGGAGATCCAGACGAATTTGTTCCTGAACGCTGGTTACCGACCGGCCAACAATCGAAGAAATATGCAAACGATCAGCTCTCGGCTAGCAAACCTTTCAGTGTTGGGTTCCTTAGCTGTCTTGGAAGTCTCTTGCATGGGCGGAGATCCGTCTCGCAGCCACTAGACTCTTATTGACATTTGATTTTTCGGTTCATGCGGAGGACAAAGTAGAATTTGACAAGTTCCCGGTGATAATGATCATTCAAAAAGCACCTATGAACTTGAGAGCCAAGATTAGGCCTGTAATCTAGCAGCGGTTTCATGGAAAGTGAAGAGTAAAAATGTAGGCCATGGGATTAGCCAACGAGGTCGTGACAGGGGTTCTAGGCGTCAGCGCGGTGATCACTGCACGTGCATGGTGGAGGCACAGCTCAGCTTGATTATATGGCGATGCTCCTATCCAAGAAACATACAATCGATAGAATTGTCAGTGAATAAACATTGCGTCTATGAGCATTTTCTAAACCTGTGTCAAAGAATCTTTCCAGGCTGATTGTGCGTTTGTATCAATTTGTGTGACTTGAGCCAATGATGCCACGAGGCACGAGCAAGAGTAGTGGAATGACAACTGTTCCTGTGAAACGAAAGGACAAACGAACTCGAGCATATTTCCCCAAGGTAAATGATCATCGATTCCTCAAAGTAACTCAACATTGACGAATATGATAATCTCAGACAAGAACTGGTTGTTGGACTTGCAGGTTCGTGTACTAAATTTCCGAAACCTTATTTTCACCACCAAGATCACGTGAATTGACAAGATTGACCACAATCTTAGAAAACGACGAGTCAAATGTGACGAAGAAAAGCCACATTGTGCCAGATGTGAGGCTTCGGGTTTCAAATGTGATGGATACTCTGTAGACGCATTCTCACAGGCTCGTAAGCGCGCGAGCGTTGTTCAAAAATCACAGCCGAAGAGAAAATCTAGTGTAACTCATCGTGCTATACTACCCTCGAAAGGTTTGATACTTTCAATAAGCGTTTACTAGCTAATTCATGTTGGAAATCCATCTGACAAGTTACTAATGCGAAAGCAGCCCCCAAAACTGCTCGGATAAACATACGAGTCCTGCGACCAAGGAGTCCCATCGTCGAAACCGAACAAGAATACCGGTATTTTTGTTTCTTTACGGAAAGTACTACACGACGATTATGCGGATTCTTTGAATCGAAATTATGGAGTCATATAATGTTGCAAGCTGGCGAACAGGAACGACCAATTCGGCATGCTATGAGCGCTATAGGGGCTCTTGATTTGATATTGCATACGAAAGAGCAAAAGTCGCACTCACCAATTGCAAGGTCAACTATAGAGGACCATCATATTTTCGCTATCAAACAGTATGATAAAGCAGTGAAATTGATGAAGGCAGATATCACCGAACGAGGCCATTCGTTAAGAACAGCTTTACTATCTTGCTTGCTCATTGTATGCTTCGAGAATCTTTATGGGACACAACAATCCGCTACTGTACACATCATAGCCGGCATTCGTCTAATAGAAGCATATCATCACGAACATACATTTAAAAGCGGCACATCTCATCTGCTAAAGCCTGAGGAGTCCAATGCTTCGACCGATTCGGCCACTTTTGGCATAGCTTCTCCAGTGCCAAGTGATGTAGAAGATGAAATCTACCAGGCCTTCGGCTTACTAGAAATCGCTTCGTTAAGCTTCAATGTGGACGGTCGGGGCATGGACCATCATATGTTAGCTAAGGATTCTGGATCCTCGTGTGTGAAAAACATGCCTTCGCGTTTTGTATCTCTCCCGGAAGCAAAGGCCTATTGGGATCTCATCATGCGTCGTCTTTTGCATCTTTTACCCACGCTAAATACCGCACAAGCAACAATGCGCGGCTACGAGGATGATAATGGGACAGCTATTATTATGAAGCCTTCTTTAGCTGTGATCGAAGAACAAGAGAGATATCTTGCCGAATTGATTTCTTGGCACGAGGCATTCACACCAGTCTTGCAAAAATGTCGTCTCTTCCCGAGTAGTAGAGATTTCGCAGGTGCCACAATCCTGAAACTGCGCTGGATTCTATGTCGAATTGCCATAAACTCCGTATTGATCCCATCGCAAGTCGCTCTTGATCAGTACTTGGAAGATTTCCGCGAAGTCCTTAATTCGGCGAAAAACCTGATGTCTCATCCAGAATGGACAGGCAAGTTCACGTTTGATTCAGGAATTATCAGTCAGATTTATGTTGTTGCACTCAAATGTCGAAACTTTCCTATTCGATCGGAAGCTATCTCATTGTTGTTGTCGAAGTCATGGCGCGAGGGGGTGTGGGATAGTACTGTGGCTGGCAATATTGCTAAAGCAGTCGTGGGCTTGGAAGAGGAAGGTCGAGAAGCTGGCTTCATACCTGAGAGTAAGAGAGTGTATCAGACCTCTATGCGATTCGATCTACAAAAGCGGATTGGAACAGTGAAATGCTTTAGAAATATTAGTAACCCGTCCGAAAGAGGGTACCCCATTACGAAGAGCATCAAGTGGTAAAGCCATCATGAACGCGTATCATCTTGCAAGTCAAATGTTTGCTTGAGGCTTACTTCAAAAGAGAGATACAAAAGTACCTGCCAATAACATGGTGGACACTAAATCTGAATTCGAGTTGGACCTTGTACCTTCAATGGTGCGCCAAAAAACCGAGTATCTGAATACCTACCAAAGATATAGCATGTGACCGGCTTCAGGGTGATGATGATGGAAAGCGGTACGAGCCGGCATCAGATATTAGCCGACCCCATAGATATAATTCTAAATATGGCGACAAACATTTAAGCACCCCCACGTCTCGTATGGCGCAGCGGTAGAGTTCATCATTCCCGAGAAATGTTGTCCGCCTCTCTACTTGCATTGGCAGGGCTTCGTCAGTGACAACGTATATAAGACCTATCTCAACGCAAGTTCAGATAGGGTAAAAACGATTTGGTTCATTGGGATTCTAGGCGTCGCGCCTAGAGTTTTGCCATTTTGGAATCCGTTTTGGTGGAGCCTAACAATGGTTGGTAAGCAGTAGCAAGTGAATATATTATTGTTATTTCGAAGAAGGCTGAAAGGTTTCATTGGAGTTAATTGGCGGTCAAGTGTTGAAACTTCACTTCAATTTATGGATCTTCATTTTTTGTGGATACTATATTCTGTATTACCTTCCCACTCAAGAATGACATAGTCTATTTATCTGCTGTCTAGAATCTAGTGCTTGGGCTAAAAATCAATAATTGTGGAAGTCTGTATTGTATATGTCATTTTCATGTGGATATGTTGAAGTTTGGCAATAGGTAGGTACCCAGATGCCGCACATGTTGAATGAAGAACAAGCAATATATTGTATGTTTCCATGATGTGTTTCCACGTATTCATTGTGTTCATTGCAATGCAAATTAAAACCTGATAGTGTGGCAAGTGAATCAATGAGGTGAATTCAGGACAATCACGTGTAGGGACTATGTTTTCAGTGTCTTTCTGCTCGAGCTTATAACAGACTGAAGAAGCTCTGTTCACACAGGAAACCATAACCAATCCACAACTACAATCACAACTTCGAAGAGAAGGTTCAAAAAAATCCCTTCCAAGTAAGATAAATCAAGTTCTAATGTTTACTAGATTTTATAGTCAAAATCAAATACAAGAAACGTATCAAGTCTCTACAAACCATTATGGACCTCCCAACAACAACAAATCAACCCTCGGCTGAGAATAAATCCTCCTCCGAGTCACTATTCATCAATACCACAATCAAGCAACCTCATCCACTTTTTATCTCCCAGTAAGTTTGCTATGCAATCTCATTCAGTACAACAATATTGATCACTCACAGGTTATACACTACTGGAAAATACACAGACCTTATTATCAAATGCCAAGGCAAAGAGTTCAAAGTCCATCGAGCAATTGTTTGTTCTCAATCAAAGCCTCTTGCTGCGGCTTTAGATCATGGATTCAAGGTGATTCAGTTACAATGTGATGATGAGTGGCTTGTTTTTGCTGACACCAAGGTTTAGGAAGCTACTGATGGTGTCTTCGATTTCGAGGAAGACGAACCAGAGATTGTGGAGTACATGATCAGATTTCTTTATGATGATCTCTACTCTGTATCCAAACAACAGAAGCATCCTGATACTGCGACGTGGGGAGGAAACGCAACTTCTGTCATGCCAGATGGAACATCTCTCACTGGAGATTCAGCATCAACATCGGACCCGCCATTTGACTTTACTACGCGATCCTTCCGCGCTCCAGCAAACAGTGATACAAGTGGACTTGAAAAACTCTTTGGATCAGCTAGCCCGGCTGCGCAAGCATTATTTCCAAGCTCAAATGGCGCATCCATTTTTGGACCTCCACAAGCACCAAGAGATAGTGGACGCAACATATTCAGCTATGTACCCCAACCTGGAGAGAAACCATCGTTATTCAGCCTTTATCGCGATGTTTCTCCTCATGCTACTCCTGCACCCGCAACTGGAAACATGTTTCGCCCTGTTCCTCCAACTACTACACATGCAGCCACCCCTAGGTCGATATCAAGCTTATTTGGTCCCGTTGTTCCTGTCAATACCCCTACCCCTACCACTGCGACCGCATCCTCAACACAAAATCTGTTTGGCGGACCCACAGCGAATACCTCGGGCAATAATATTGAGGTAGCAAAGACTCCAATTCAGGTATCAAAAGGCAAATTCAATTGGTCAGGTCGTGGTAGTCTCTTTGGCGGAAGCGCAACTTATGGTCAATCTTCCGAAAACATCGAGCTTCAAGCAGAGGATTTGATCAAGCATGCAAAAGTCTATATCATGGCAGAGAAATATGATATCCAGCCATTAAAGAGACTTGCTCGTCAAAGATACTCCTCTGTCGCAGATAATTACTGGAACTCTCGTTGTTTTGTTCAAAGTATTGAACTCATTTTCGATGGTACACCTGATATCTCCGAAGGTGATGATCTTCGAAAGGCTGTTCTGGAAGTTGCTAGTAGGTACATGAAACAACTTCTAGCGAGGGAAGATTTCGCTCAAATGTGCCAGGAGAGAGGTGATATCGGTTTCGCAATTCTTCAGTGGTCTTCGTGGTCGATGTAAGGATTCTTAAGGATGTTATGTGGACTGATTCTACGATACTGTAGGCGGATGGAGCTTTGCGTGGGCAAATATTCCGGGGATTGATATTCCGACAGTTATTAAGGATACCAATTTATCCTCTGTTTTCTAATGATAGTAATGATACATGCAAATGAATACAATTATGTTTTCCAAAGAAAGACAATTACTTTCATTCAAAAATACACCGCTATGTATTATAGAACAGTCTACAGATTTCCAATGTCCAATAAAAGGTGTATAATCTCATGAGAAGACTTCAAAAGTTGAATGTAGATAAATCTCTCCATTACTGACTCATTCATCTTAAAGATTAATCAGATAATCCAATGCAGGCTGACAACGAGACTGTAAAATGTGAATTCTAAATCTGAAAGGGCCAAGGCCTTTCATGAATTCGCGCACTCACTGTTAATGGCAAATATTGAAGCCAATTTAAAGGTAAACACTTGCTTGGCCTTACATTGTTTGGGTTGTAATCTTTCAAGGAGAACCGGAAGTGGAGTTGGAGGGAGAAAGCGTGGGGCTTCCAGACAGCTTTGATGGAAAATGTAAAGAATAAGAGTTCTGGAACGATCGAATCCATTGGCCGATACGAATATAAACATGAGTTCCTATCAAATCCATCAAATATCAGTGCGATATCTCTTCTGTACAAACAGTCATGAATCAACACCAGGAAGCAAATGTTGAAGCCCAGCGTGGGTAAGTCAAGCCGTCTGATTTTGTTTACCTTAACTAACCGGCCAGAATCTACCGCTCAAGAGACTACCACGATATCGAACTGAAGTGCAAAGACAGCATTCTCTTTGCACATAGTGCGATACTGCTACCTCGCTCCGCAGTCCTCGCAAATAGAGAAGATGAGAGATGGAGCGTCACTGAAACGAATCTAAGACAGTTTGATATGTCGGATCAGCATTCATTCATCGTCAACGCGGCACTTTCATACATCTATACTTCTGAATACAATGATGACCCTTCTGGCACCTATTCAAATTTGAACATGCTTCCTCGCATACGCCCCCTGCCTTGCCAACCTCAGGATTCATTTCTACCTGCTAAGAACCTTGACGACTCACGACTGGTTTTCAACACGGAAATGTACATTTTCTCCCGCAAATACAAGATTGCAATGCTGGAATGCCTAGCCGCCGAAAAATTCTATGATGTCGCGCGTCTCCCTTCACCTCCCTTGTTCAACTCCAACACAGACGTACTAGAGAGAAGACCTGCCTTTGTCGCAGCCGGATCTCTCCTCTGCGACAACATGCCGCATCTTGTCGACAGGAAGAGTGATAGCTTATGGAAAACTATGAAAGTGATATCGTTCACGAACTACATGATTTTAAAGGACGCGAGATGGAAGGATGGAGAAGAGAAAAGAATTTTTTGGGAAAGGGAAGATTTTATGGCGGAGCTGTTAGAAACGGGATGGCATCTGTATCACGACCTTTCGATGCGTCTGAGAAATCCGGGGTAACTTGCTAGAAGTGATAGCTGGAGACATTAATCTTCATTGATAGAGAGCCAAAATCACTTTCAATACAGGTCGTTATGACCTTGTCAATCAGATTGGGATACATGACTTGCAGGAGAAATGTAGAAAGTTCGCTTAACCTCATCATTTAATGATTGTAGTCTTTACAACTTTCATATTTCGTTCGCCAATGAAATAGGCGCTTGCTGTAAATCCCTGCTCAATTGATCGATCTATTGAAGTGTAATGTCAATCAGCTAAGAACGTGCCATTTGCCTTTGTTATTTAGATGAATGCCCGCCCCTCATTTGGCTTTCGGAGAAATCAAATCAAAGGGAAACGATAGAAACTTTCTGTGTTCTGGTAATATGACAATAATTTACAAGTGCTATCTTGTTTCATGAAGTCAATGCATGATATTTCACCACTCTTGCGCCGTTTATTTCTTTCCCTTGGTCTTCTTCTTACTAGTTTGCCTCCTCTCACCATCAGGTCTTCCCAATACACCTCTCGTTCTTTGGTATTGCAAGACAATATTCTGCACACTACCCATATCATGCTTGGGCTTCCTCATGTATGTCAATCTGGCTCTTCTGGCTCTCTTGGCCTTTCTCTGTACCACCTCGATACCCTCTACGTTGGGGCTATATATCTTATACCACATCTCGACACCCACTCTCGTCAACTCGTTCCTCAATAAGATACCCGTCTCCACACCTCGTCGTCGAATATTGATGCATACTCCGGCAAATGGATCGCCAGTTTTGAGTCGTATGAGAAGAATATCGCCAACTCTGGCTGCTTCTGGGTTTGTTTTGGAGAATAAGTTGGTACGGGCACCGGTAGGATCGAGGACGGCAATTTGCTCTGCGTGAATGTTTTTTATTGGTTCCTTGAAGATCTGAGCCGGGGATGAAGGTGGAGGATAGGTTTTGATTTTTCGGACAGCTGTTTGGGGTGTCAGTATAAAGAGGTGCTCAATTGTAAGACTGATGGAGGACCGACCTTGAGTTTGAAGAGGAGTCTGCGACGCCGGCTTCGAGTGGTGATATGTAGTCAAAGGCCTCGAAATGGTCTTCTGCTGTCTCGAGTGCCTCAAAAGGGATTTCCAACAGCTCAATGGCCGCAATGTGGGTGTCATGGTTGCCATGGTTGTTGTGGTCTAGATTTTGTATTGGAGTGAGGTTGAATGCGACCAATCTGAAAAATTCTGCCGCTTTTGGGGTCACCGCCTAAATATTTAAATCAGAACTCCAAACCCTCTTGATGATAACGATCGACCTCACCCCTCCAAATTGTAACCGTACACTCTTACAAAGCTACCTGAATTTACCCCCCAGGTCATTATGAGTGGTAAAGGTCTTTCCAAGGTCATTCGTGGCAGCGAATGCTTGTTCAAACATGCGCCACTAAAATTGACCAGACAACAACGATCTTTCACAAGTTCTCCAGTATGCCAAAAAGTTGGTATGTGATTGAAATGCCCAAATTGTATTCTATGTGTTGACTTCAGAGTAGGCCAAGTTCCATCTTTCTCTCCGACCTCCTCTGCAGAGCTTGACGCCTTACTGTTGAAATACCGAAAGAATCTTTTCCTACCCGCACATCTTTCAGAATACGACCAGGAGCTAGTATACGGCAGTAGACATGCAGAATCACTCAAGACTGATCCCGTCAAGGTCCAGATTGGTGGAGAAGAATTCGTCCTAGAGCACATAAACCAATTGAGAGATCTACCAGGCACCACGAGAGGATTTAGACAAGTTCTTAATCTCATGATGGAAAAGAAGGACTGGGACAACCTACCACAGTTCCTTGAGGGACATCGCGATTGTAGACGACCTTTAGCCCATGCCTTATATTGTCAGATGATTCGACGGGCCGGTCTAGTAGGTCGAATGGACGCTGTTATTGAGGCGGCAAGAAGAGTTCGTTACACAGGATTTCGCTTGAACGACGAAGAAGTAGTCTTGCAAATGATGTACTGGATCTACTACAAGGCACAGGTCAGTGGCTTTGAAGAGCACGAAACAAAACAGGCGCTTGCATGGGCAGAAGCGGTGGCAGATTTGCTTGAGGATCCAAGACATGCCGGAGATAAGGGCCCATTCCTTGCAGAGGACGCGAACGATGTACGGGCTCTTCCGGAAGTTATCGGCATATTATTGCAATTGGCTGCAGTTCGTGCCGTAAAACACACGGATGGGAAAGATTTGGATGGGAAGGTCGCAACTTATGCTTCAAGGCTACTCGGAACGCCATACGACTTGAGCACTTCTTTACTCAATCTTAAGAGGCCAGAGGTACGGGTGTATTCGAAATCTGGCGCCGTCGACTCGGATATAGCCAGTCAAACTAAAATGGATGGTGGAGATTATTCTGCAGAGGAAATACAGAAAAAGACTATCCGGGCTAAGAACCATTGGCTTGTAGCTGCAGTACCAGTGCTACATGGGATGAAAACATCACTACATGTTTTCGACCCATCAACGGTAGCTTCATCGAAGCTGAAGGAGAACATACCCCGATTAGAGAAACGGGTCAATAGGTACGCATCCGACTTGAAGGGAATTGCTGCGGGAAACCTGGGTTATAGAACATATACCAATTTATTTGGCTCAGCATGAGTCACATGTTTCTTTTAATGATCGGATGAAAGCTTTTGCATTTGTATATACTTGTACAATAATCTAAGGAAGCACAATATACTTCTCTAAATGCTTTGGAATTGCTCCAAGAAGTTTCTTTTCCGACAACCACTTCTTGGAAAACAATCGGTCCGCATATCTGTATGCGCCATCGCAAAGTACTGTCACAACAGTGTGGCCCTTTCCGAGTTTTTCGGCTAGCTCCTTTGCAGCAGCGACATTCAAACATGAGCTAGCTCCGAGGTACAACCCTTCCTCATCTAAACAACGATAGACCATTTCGATACTCTTCTCGTCACTAATGTGCATTGAGCCGTCTAATAAATCAATGTCTGGTTTTAAGTTGTCTGTAACTCTGCCTTGTCCGATTCCCTCTGTGATACTGGAGCCAGTTCTATCTACTAGCTTTCCACCTGACTGAATGTATGAATGCAACACACTTCCGGGGGGATCAGCAAGATAACATTTGACCCTTCCGTCGGACTTTGTCTTCAAGTATCGAGTGATTCCGGCCAAAGTACCTGCGGTTCCCGTGGCACAGGTGAAGGCATCCACTTTGCCATTAGTCTGATTCCATATCTCTGGCCCAGTAGTTTCAATATGGGCTCGTCTATTCGCGATATTATCGAATTGATTTGTCCAAACCGCGTTCTCTAATTTATCCGCGTGTCGCTTTGCTTGATGATTGTAATTTTGTGGATTGTCGAAAGCTACTGCTGGCACTGGATACACTTCAGCACCCAATAATCTCAAAAGGTCAATCTTTCCTTGAGATTGTGTATTGGGCATGTAGATGACTAGCTTGTAACCCTTAGATCTGCAAACGTGTGCGAGACCAATTCCTGTATTTCCAGCGGTTCCTTCGACAACAGTTCCTCCAGGCTTCAGCAGACCCCTCTCTTCGGCGTCTTTCACAACATATAGAGCTGCTCGGTCCTTGATTGATCCTCCAGGGTTCATAAACTCTGCCTTTCCCAATACTTCACAACCAGTCGAATCGGAGATGTGATTTAATCGAATGAGTGGGGTGTTTCCAATTGCTATGATTCTTTAGTCAATACTTCATGATAAGCCGTGAATTACCAAGATTCAACGAACCTCCAGTTAAACCCTTTACCACACCCTGAGCTTTAGAAACTCCAATTCCATATTGATTTGGAGCTTCCATCTGAGCAACATTCTCCGCAGCTCTTACAGCTGTGGTCGCAAAGCGACGAACACCAGATCGGAACATCTTTAAGATGAATTGGGAAAACAATTGGACCAGACTTTTGCACTTGACTTTTGTACTTCCCGAGATTCTTTATCCGATTCTAAATGCTTCGCACTGGCCCGATGTCGCCATCGATACTTTGTCCCGCAGGCGGGTCTTATCGCTTATCGCTGACAACGGCCCATGACTAAGCAGGGGTAGGAAAGTAAACAAATCAATGTCAACAAACAGCAAACATCGAGTGTGAAATGAAAAAGTTATCGACCATCTAACACGTCCAAGCAGCTTGCGACAATACTGTTCTGAGGCTCACTTTAGTCTCCTTTTAGAATACTACAATTAATCAATCCACATACAACAAATATACGACCGCAAAACGAAACAATCTACGACAAAAACGCAATTTTTCATATCACACTTGAACTCAAGACAACAAGATGCCAGGTAAAGTCTCTAGCAGGAGTTCGAGGGCATCTACCTCTGGATCTCGAAAATCATCTACGGTAGAACCAAGTAGTCGCAGATCTGCTACATCCAAATCCTCAGCGCCACACGTTGAGATTCCAGAAGAGACGCCAGACAATGAGTTGCGCACGCAAATTTCATCCATATTCCGAGATTCCCAAAGAAACACCGCATCGCATAGAAAATTGGTTGTTAACTTGCGCAAAATACAAGAGGCCTGTTGTTATGAGCCAACTAGTAAGAAGAATAAAACTGGCGCGGAAGACTTCGAGGAAGAGGAATTTACATACGAGTTCACAAGATGTGTTCTAAGAGTAATGCCGATCAAGAAGAGTGAGAGTGTTGGAGAAAAGGCGATTCGTTTTATTGGGCTGTTCTTGAGACACGCTAATGAGAAGGACAATGAAGTGACCCCAGCAAATGAAGAGGAGGATGGAGTTTTAGTTGAGACGCCGAGTACGAGACTCACAAGTCACCTCATGACGACTATTTTGCCTCTTTTGACGGCCAAAGAGAAATTTGTGCGGTTTAGATCCACGCAGCTGATTTCGCATATCATTAACTCTCTCGATTCGATTGATGATGATCTCTTTCAGCAACTCCGACATGGGCTTCTGCGCAGAATTCATGATAAAGAAGCGATGGTGAGAGTGCAAGCTGTGCTGGGTCTCGGCAGATTGGCCGGAAACGAAGCAGAAGGGGAGGCAGATGAAAGTGATGATGAGTCTTCTGGGGGTTTGCTTGTTAAACTATTGGCAGTTTTGCAAAATGACCCCAGTGCCGACGTTCGAAGGTCTCTTTTGATCAATCTACCAATATTACCCAATACACTCCCATACTTGCTAGAACGGGCCAGAGATCAGGACCCTGCAACTCGTCGGGCACTGTATTCTCGACTTCTACCAGCACTCGGTGATTTCCGACATTTGTCACTTTCGATGCGTGAAAAGTTACTTCGATGGGGTCTTCGCGACCGAGATGAAAACGTTCGCAAAGCGGCAGGGAGACTTTTCAGAGAACGTTGGATCGAAGATTGTTTGGCCTCAGCTGCAGCAGAGTCTGCGGAAGGTGAGGCAGCCGAAGAGAATAGGGCGCCGAATATGGACGCGCTATTAGAGCTTCTTGAAAGAATTGATGTGGTTAATTCTGGGGTTGAAAATGGGGTTGCGCTAGAGGCGATGAAGGGTTTTTGGGAGGGCCGACCCGACTTTCGAGACGCCGTTGAATTCGATGATCGCTTCTGGGACACTTTATCGGCGGAAGCTGTATTCATGGCAAGAAGTTTTAACGATTTCTGTCGGAACGATGGAAATAGCAAGTATGAGGCTTTGATTGAAGAGAAAATGCCTGAAGTTACGAAGCTGGCATTTTACCTCCACAGATACACTGCCGTTTTAGTGGAGGCTCTCAAGAGGATTGCAACACAGGAGGAGGTCACCGAGGATGTAGCGGAAGAGGAAGATACCGTAGAGCAAGAATTTATTGTCGAACAATTACTCCACATTGCTCGAACTCTGGACTACTCAGATGAAGTTGGACGACGGAAAATGTTCACTCTTCTGAGACAGCACTTGGCAATTCCGGAGCTGCCTGAGGAAGTTACTAAACTAACCGTTGAAGTTCTTAGAGGAATTTGTGCCGCAACTCCTGCTGGTGAAAGGGAATTCTGTAGTGTGGTCTTAGAAGCTGTTGCAGATGTTCATGATACGGTTACAGATGAACAGGATTTCGAGGATGCGGAAGAGAGCTTCCATTCTGCAAGATCTGATGTCAGTGATGACGAAAAGCCCACCAGAGGCAAGAAAAAGCCTCCAATGACAGAGGAAGAAGAGCAAGAGAAAGCGGTCCGTGAAATCATGGTCAATATGAAATGCTTGCATATTGTGCAATGTATGCTTGAAAATGTTGAAGGAAGTCTTAAGGAGAATCCAGATCTTGTAGCCATGCTCAACAACCTTGTTGTACCAGCTGTGCGTAGTCACGAGGCACCTGTACGAGAACGTGGTCTTGTCTGTATTGGCCTGTGTTCTCTTCTTGACAAATCTTTGGCCGAGGAGAATCTGGCTCTTTTCATACATTTCTTCAGCAAAGGCCACTCTGCTCTTCAAATCACTGCTTTGCAGATCTTGACCGACATGCTCAATCAACACGGCGCTCAACTTCTGGAATCGAATCCTACAATTTTAACCAAGGTCTATCTGAAGGCTTTGAAATCTGGTGCCAAAGACCCTGAAGTCCAGGCAGCGGCTACCGTTGCTGTTGCTAAACTCTTACTGGGACGTGTAATTACGGATGCCTCGTCTGCCATCGATGATCTATTGAAGACATTGGTTGTCCTTTACTTTGATCCCAGCACAGCTCATAACCAAGGTGTTCGTCAAACACTTACCTATTTCCTACCAGTTTACTGTTACAGCAGAGCAGAAAATCAAGATAGGATGCGTGGAGTGGCATTAGATGCCATGCACAAACTATTTGAAACGCAAGATGATGATGAGGATGCTGAGGCTGAAATGGTTGGTCTTGGGACGATCGGTGCCCATTTGGTAGATTGGACAGACCCTAGGAAATGCTATGTTCCTGGAAATCAACTCACGTTATCCGATGATGCAGCTAAGAAAGCAGTCAATGGAGATGTTCATCTTGACTTTGCTATGGATATTTTGGAAAGGTTAAACTCTTCTATGAGACGTAAGTCGATATTTTCATTCTTAGTGCTATAAAGTCCAATCTAACAATTCAAATAGTGGAAGAAAAGAAAACTCTCACACCTCTCCTCGCCAAACTTCACATCTCACCAGCCTCATCCGAGGATAAGCTTCGCGCCACATATGAGGAGGTGACTGAGGCCGTCGAGAACAAAAAGTTGGGCCTCGATGCTACTGGTAGAAATGCTTTGTTCAAGATACACGTTACTCTTGGCAAGATTGTAAATTCTCTCGCCGAAAAAGATGCGAGAGAGGAAAGTGTTTTGAGAGGAGGAAGTGTGATGAGAGATAGCGTAAGGGGCGAAAGCGTCCCGCTCGGTGATAGCAACAGAAGCAGGGCCGGAAGTGTGGAATCTAAAAAGAGCAGAGGCCCGGAAGTGATAATGGATAACCCAATCAAAATGGAAAGCGTAGAAGAAGACGAAGAGGAAAACGCAGAGGAAGAAGATGTCGATGAAAGCGAAGGAACAGTCGTTGCTGAACAAGAAAATACCATCGTTCCTCCTGACGAGGAAGAATCATTGTTAGAACAACAATTGCAGGATAGTCTGGTTGAAAGTCTCTTGGATGATGATGGAGATATTGAGATGGGTATGTAGGGCTGAGGTGTATATGAGTAATGGTTTGGGATACTGTCCTTGGAGTTCGGTTTGGCTTAGTGTGTTGGATTAACGAATCTATGAATTGATGCCCTCATCATTGGGATAATGAATCTGGACTGAATTTAGTGTACTGTGGAATATCTACTAAGAGCGAGTGAATTTTTTTTCGGTATTGAGGAAACGCCGAAACCCACTCGGCACTTGGACTTTGCATTCAAGCATCCTAGACGGTGCTGTTATAGAGTATAGCTTCTGAGGCGGATTGAGATATTCCTCGAGAAAACGCGAACTACATGATCTTGGAATGATCTTCCTTGTGTCATCTATACATACTCTCTTCCTCAAAGATCACTAGTAAATAACGAGACTTTCTCTCTTCGAGCCCGTCCAAAAGAGAAGGCGGCTCTTCTATACATATGCCTAAATCATTTGTAGTGCCCTTTGGACAATGCTACGCTATACTATGCAAGGTCCATAGATATCATAATTTCGATTTCCCATCCGAGTCTTTACTCCACAGGTCATCCCATTCTACCTTATGCTCTAAATGTTCTCTCCGGGTCGGCACGCGCACTTTATGATGTTCACACGTACAGTAAATGATTGATCCATCTTGACTCGTCATGGTACCACGAAGCATCGCCATCGTTTTGCCATATTGTACTACTTCGGTGGATATACGGACAGTTGTACCTGGGATTGTTAATATTGATGACAATCGAAAAGTGGTATTTCTAGCAAATGATTAAATGGAATCTACGTACCAACAGGAATAGCTCTTAAATAACTCAAATTGAGCGTCCTCGTTACACCACCCAGAAAACTACTCCCCGTCAACATTAGCATACATTTCAAACCTACTCCCAGAGGGGGAAAAGAACATACTCCCAAGATCCAGGCTTCGCAACAGGTCCCAAAGCAAACGTAGTACACATATCGAATATCACAGCACCGGCTCCTCCATGCATCACATTGTTGATATTGCTATATTGCTCATCTATTAAAAATTCGAACGTTGCGGTTCCTGAAGAGGTAGCATCGATGATTTTGATATTGTCCATGATGTGGCAGTCGAATCCTTTGAAGTTTTGGGCTTGGGCGATTAGTCGGTATCTGGGGGGTTGTCAGAGGGAGTGAGAGAAGAGGATGCGGAACTTAAGGGGAGGGGGAGGTGGGGAAGTGATGGGAATGTGAAGTGAAGATCCGATGTGAGATATTGAGACGAGAAATAGCAATCGGAATAGAGAAAGATCAAATTGATGCTGAAGGGTTCTTGAAGTTGTGGTATAGTACCACTAACTACCCAGAAAGAAAGAGTCCTTCATCTCAAACAGGGTGGCCAACAAATCCCACTACGGTACAAGTACCATGCAATACTCCATCAAATACTTTCACTTGAAGTATAGAGACAGTCAACCTCTCGACACAAATACATAGAGAAACTAAGAATGTATACCTCTCAAAAATCGCCTCGACACCCTTCATAGCCTCCTCCCGTGACTTCAACATCTTGCACCAAATACCCCGCTTTTTCTTCCTATCCTACTCAAATTACTCTTTTGCAGATGGAAATAAAGAAATGTTAACTCGCATAAAATGAATGTAAATTGAGTAAAATGTAGAATATTGAAGCTTCACGACAGTCTTGTAGCTATAGCTTGGATGGTAACCAAGATCGAGCGGTAGACGCGACGTTCCTGCCGAGGTTCGGATGGCGGATCGGATCGTGTGGTTTGGTGGGGTAATGTGATCTTGTGAAGGGTTGAGTTGTGAGGTTATGTAAGCAGGAACTTGCTTGTGGGAAGTGAGCGTTGTTTTTGACGTTGATGATCACGGAAAGTTTAATTGATGGGACATGGTTTTTTGTTGTATAGAGTATCTGGATGATTCGCTCTGATATGCAAGGCTCACCTTGTGAGCGGAAAGAGCTGTTAAATCTAGCTTTTTATCAGTAGTGGGTTGGTCTTCTGATGCACTCAAGAAGGCTGATCGAGATTCTACTCTTTTCAATCGCGGGCCAGCACTTCAATACATACTTCTATAAAATACTATATATATAGAATGCATCTCAGCCTACAAAACAATCCAATTAGCGAGGCTTTTCTTTTTTCCTTTTTCTTCAAGAACCAGCTCTCTATTCAAACTAAATTCGAGTTATCCACATTCCCTATCTGCACCCCATGTTCTTAAGAATGCTACCAGCGGTTAGTTTCTCTTTATGTATCAATGTAACTTCATTGACAGCAAGATTCAATTTTTGATGGCAGTCCAGAGTAATCGTCAAAGTAACGTGAATTGGAGATTATCATCACCGTTTTCATTGCCATTATCATTTATGTATCTATCACTTTCGTGACAAGGAAAGATATTGAGATAGTTGCCAGCTAGACTCTATTAATAGATTCGTCTCCCTTCAATACTCTTGAGTATTGTAGTGAAGGTTTTAGATTGTTGCCGCAGATTTTATAGGTGACGTTAGTCCCTTCAGCGGAAACTTCGGTACAGGTTGGTTTCTCATACATCCCTATCTCATGTCTACCTCGTCATCAAGCATCCACTCCTCACCCATGACCTGTCATAGTCAAATGGCACGACCCCAATATTTAAGTTTCCATTTATTCACTAACTCACCTGCCACATAACTGAGTACCTTGACTATAAAAGCATCGATCAAGGCAGAGAAAGTGATATTCAAAAATAAGCAATCACCTTGAAAAGCATATCGCGGTGTCCAAAAAAACGTTTCCATTACTACAAATTCTCCTTATCTGTATTTCAAACTCCCACATTTTGATACTTCTCCAAGCCCGGAACTGCTCTACTGATAACAGCGGATATTGCGCTCCTAAGAGGCGATAGCTCACTCCAATTGATCGTGACAATTTAGCAAACAGATAGTGCGAGTCCCTTTTGATACTTATTGAGGAAGAGAAGAGGACTAAGACTCTCAGAACTCCTCGCGTATGTTCAACGAGAGAATTACCTGTCCGTCTTGAATGCTTGAATTATTGCGACCTCATATCTATGGAGAAGTCAAATAGATCCAAGACACATTTATATACCTACCAATCCTCTGACCAAAGCAAAGAAAGTAAATCGCTTCCCAGATCCTTTGTTGCAAAACAGAGCACCTGATGACCATTGATACTTTTGCAATAGTATAAACACCTGCACGATAACCCCTACACAAGACAAAGTCACAAGTGAAGTCGAGTGAAGAATACCGAATGTCCTGGATTTGGAATCTTTCGTAAGTTCCCTAGATGAAGATAAGATGATACCAAACAGAGGAATTACTTTGACGATGTTGGAGACGAGACATTGTTATTCTATATTAGGTTTCTCGGTGAGATTCTCTCGGAATTGATGATGAAAAAGTTTTCGATGGTAATGATCACTGTAACTTAGAGATTTAAAAATGAAGACGTCAAGATCAGATGTGAAAGTTGCAGTGGTAAGATCCGGCATAGTCGAATATCTTCAAGAGCATTTTCACACAGTGAGTAGTTGGAATATAAAGATCCTCAAGCTGAAGAAGCCACATTGCCTTTGGCTGTTTTGATTCATGAGCCTTTGTTTAACTGTGCAAAGCCGATGGATGATCGAGTTTGCATAAGAAGATGCCGCAGCGACCTCATTAAAAAAAGGATTGAATACGTATGTAGACATTCACTACATCCCCGATATTCCATCAGCATCTGTGAATCCACTCATCAACTCTTCCCAAGAAAATCAATCAAATATCGCAAGATAAGAATATCGAGGTATCAAAGAGCAAGGAAGACAAGAATTTGAGATTCCAAAGCACAAGCCGAACGCCCTCATCCAGCCAAATGACAGAGTGTCCGCAGTTCCGTCCGTATTTTTCGATTTAACTAGATATTTGGTTACTTCGTTCTGATTTTGTAATTCCACTGTTTTTACATTTCACGAATGTTGTAACAAGAAACTTTCATCTAATCGATTCGTGATCATGAAGTGACAATGAATAAATCACTCGCAACGATAGCGACAACGATAATGAAATAATACTCAAATATCTTGACAATCAAGAAAGACTCGCCATGCGAGAATCGGGGAGAGAAATCATGTACAGCACGACCAAGTACAGTACACCTACAGAAAAAGTTGGCCTAGTCATGCGAGCAGAGTATCCCAGCGTACAAAATACATCGTACTTGTCGAATTCAAAGCTTGCCTGTTTATTGCAAGGTGTTGAATGTTTTAAACACTTATTGAATAGGTCGGAAGATTGTGGATTATCTATATTGGTGCAGGCTTTGTGGGGGGTGGATATAACTCCCAAATTGAAGGATCAGCGACTGATAAATCACAAGGTTTCCTCAACATGTACTAGATTCAATTACCTGTAGATGAAAACCTTCCTATATAAGCCCCATCACCTAAGCTATATCTGAGATCAATATCCAACAACGATCGCGGAATGGAAAAATATCTCGGAGGATTCCCAAGGCCGGAAAGAGGGACTACAAGCTTTTCAGTGACATAGATGAGATCTCATGTAACAAAAAAATACCAATACAAGGAAATCTCATTTTTTAGCGCAATGGCAACTCGCAACCCGTGAAAAGAGGAAATTTTGACAAAGGATTGGTTAGGTGACAACAAAAGCTCTATATCTTCCTGGATTTTTGTGCAGGACGACGACAATGTAAGCAACAGTCATTGCTAGCTCGGTAGAAAGAATTTATAGCAACGAAAACATCAAAGTGCACAACTTAAACAGGTATGTTACGCCCTCGGGACTATCGAAGTGTCATCCGACCGAATATCTGGATTTTGATCTGCACCTGCCAAAAAGCTCCATGCCGACATCCTATGAGCTTACATCTCTTTGTGATTCCTGGTACACTTGCAGCTTCTCAAGACAGGTTCTTCAGTTCCATATATGTGAAATATTTATAATGGCTTGATAGTATATCACTGCCACAAGTCCGAGTTCCTTTGAAAAGAAAAGAAAACTTGACGAAATAAATGGCTGGCGAAGATTTCATCGTCTATATTGTACGAGTACCGAGGGCTAAACTAATTTCCAGTCCTGTTCTCTCAAGCAGCAGCTTCAATTCTTCTGATACGAGTAAATGTACTACCTACTGCCTACTCACCCGCATCCTTTCACACTCCAGGTTTTTAAAAGTCTCCCAGATGAACAATTTGAAGCTTCCAATCTTTCATCCTACTCTTCAAGCACTTCATTGACTTGATGAAATCCATACTCACATAGTTTGTCACCGTACATGGTTGATTTCCCGCACAGTGGGATAGTCATTGTTCTGGGATTGAAAAACAATGTCATTATATGTAGCGTTGAATCCGTGTGCACTAGCGAGCGCAGATAGGTGTGATTTCAGTTATTGTGAAGGGTCTTGGTAATTCATAATAACACCCTGGAGCAGCTATAAGCAAATTAATCTGATTGACGCGTTAGTTTAGAAATGATACGGCAGGTATTTAACTTAACGACACGTAGCTTTAAACATCAACTCGCCTGTTCACTCATTGTTCAGGGGCAGTACTTAGCATTTCCCTGTGAAATTGTAGTTTGTGCATAGTTCCTCAGATGCGAACAATCCCTTGTCTGGGGTATATAAGAGATGATCGTTGGTCTCATATCTCAGTTCATTATCCTTGGTACCATCCTAGAATGAGACATTAGACTAGAGATAAATAGACAGATCCAAGAATTCATCAGATATCACTCCAACAGCCCAGAAATCATGTCTTCTACAGATCTTTCCGGCTTCGCAGATCTTCCACCGGAAATCAGACTCCGGATCTGGCGTACCATGATAGATGGTGATCTCAGTCCCCCTCGGGCAATCATCGGCGACACGCTGTGGGAGCCTAGAACCATTGGAGCTCTCGCAGTCAATCACGAATCTTGTGCAGAGGCTCTTCGCCATCGTCCAGATTTGGAAACGTTTAAGTATACCCTGGCGAATGCCCCCTGGCATACTGGCGCTGGACGTCGCGAAAAGGTCTGGCTTAGCACTGAAGCTGATGTTTTTGTCATTGATCCTATCAGGAAGTTCACATTAGGCAAGTGGGAGATCCCCACTCTCAAATACGCGATCCGAACCATTGCTATTCCACAATCAAAATTCGGCACAAGCAACCACAGTCTACATTGTGCACAACATCTTTCCCAGTTGAATGACGCACGCAACTTTAAGAGGTTAAAGACCTTGGTAATCCTTCGGGATGACCCGGCACAAGAAGTAATACCTCATTTAGTCATTCTAGACCCCGCCATCCGCTCAGCTTCTGACGACATCAGAGTCTCGATCGATCCAACTCCACTCTCGCAGGTGGAAATGGATGCATTTGGATATGATATTCAGTGGTACAATAGTTTCATCTTTATTATTCGACAACAGAAAGGTTCGAATTGGGAGTTGCCTGAGATCAAATGGGGATGCTTGGTTCGAAACTGAGCTTGGGATCACGAGGACGAGGACCCCAACAACCAGACACACGCCGAAATTGTA